CCTTCCTTTGAAAGCTGAATAGTGTTTCATTAATGGTTATTATTTCTTTATCCATATTGTATAGACATTTTTTTTCCTTATCCATTCATCCATCAATGAAGATTTAGGTTGCTTCCAACTCTCCACTATTGTGAATCTTGCTGCAATGAACAGGGATGTGCAAACATCTCTGTGAGATCTTGTTTTCAGTTCTCTTGTATAGATACCAAGAAGTGAGATTGTTGGATCACAGGGTAATTCTATTTTTAATTGTCAAGGAAACTTCATACTGCACCATTTTACATTCTCCCGAAGAGTACACAGTGTCCCTGTTGCTCTGTGTCCTCGTCAGCACTCGCTATTTTCTGTTTTTCTCATTGTGAGCATACTAGTGGGCGTGAGGTTTTGATCTGCCGCTCTCTGATGACTGGTGATATTGAGCATCTTTCATATATAAGTTGGTGATCTGTTTATCTTCTTGAGAATTATCTCAAGTCCTTTGCCAACTTCCTTTCAGGTACTTGTTTTTTGTTGCTGTTAAGTTGTGGGAGTTCACTATACAGACTAGTTACTCCTTATTGAGTATCAATGGTTTTGTAAATATTTCCTCCAGTTGCACAGGTTACCTTTCCACATGGTTCATTATTTCTTTGATGTGCAGAAGTTTTTTTTTTTTTTTAAATAAATAATTAATTTATACAAGCACTGGGTATAGTCAGAAGTGTGGGAAGGCGAGAGAATTCACCAGAGCCAGAGCGGGGAGCAGAGCAGGCAGACTGAAGTACACTGCTGAGGGGAGCAGCGGGCGGCAGGAGAGGTCTGCGTGCCATGTGGGGCCCTCGCCTGGCGGCCGGGGATCGAACTTGTGCTGCAGAGGCTGCAGACAGCTTCGCAATCCAGTGCTCAATCGCTGTGCCACCAGGGAGTCCCGACGTGCAGAAGTTTTTAAGTGTGACATAGTCTGTCTTTGCTTTTGTTGCCTATGTTTTTGGTCATATTCAAGAAATCAGTGCCAAATTCAATGTCTTAAAGTATGGCCCCTATGTTTTTCTTCAGGATTGTTATAGTTTTTAAATCTTATGTTTGGGTCTGCAACCCATTTTGAGTTAATTTTTGCATATGGCCTAAGGTAAGGGTCAACTCCAATCTATTGCATGTGAATGTCCAGTTTTCTAAAAATCACTTGATAAAAAGACTAGTTTTCCTCCAGTAGGTAGCCTTGGCACCCTTGTTGGAAAATCATCTGGTCATATATGCAAGACTTTATTTGGACTCTATTTCATTGATCTGTGTATCTATCTTTATGCTAGTACCATACCATCTTGATTACTGTTGCTTTGTAGTGTGTTTTGAAGTCTGGAAGAATGGAGCCTCCAAATTTGTTCTTTTTTGATATTGTTCTTTTTGGGGATCCCTTGAGATTCCATATGGGTCTGTTTGATGCTGTTTTGATTACTCATTCAGCACAAGAAGAACACAAGGGTACTGGATGATTTCCTTTGCTCCCCAACAGCTTGAAAAAAAAAACCCACAATTGAACTGAATTATGATTTCTCTTCTTAATACTCAGTTACAGAGATATTATGATATTTAATTATAAATTTGCTTTAATTTTAGTACAGCTGTAAATCATGAATGTTCATACAAAAACATACTTAGCTAGAACAAACATTAATCAGAATAAACACACAAACATACTGCTAATTGTATATGCTATAAACCATTTTATAAAAAATGTATGTGGTGGGAAAACTATGGTGACTGTACCTGAGGGGAGAAATTCTATATTGTGAAAAAATAAGCAAGGGTGTGAAAAAAAAAAAAGCATGTGTATTTATACACACATGACAATGGACTAAAATTACCATGGGGGAGGAAATGAAACGTAATTGAAATATTTTTCAAATGGCTTGGTTATTTCTGATTTTGTTAATATACAAAATGAAATTTTTAGCACACACTGAAAATGCTTCTAAAAAATCCTAAACATACAAATAAACATTTTTATATTAATAAGTGGATATTTCAAAGACAGGAAATGGTATACTCTTTGATTCACATTTAGCAACTCAATTAGTATTAATTCACTCAAGTACTTAGGAATTTTGTAATGTTTGTACATTTGCTTTTATGTTACACAGGATGTCATAATAGACAAAGAGTATAGTAAATTAAATCCTAAGTAAATATTTATAAAAAAAATGGCAATGGGGTATACTTTGATTCCTCTGCAGTAGTAAGGTTTAATTGATTTCAGCTATGGTGTGGTTTTACACACACACACACACACACACGTGAGTCTCCCCTAAAGGAATTTGGAAAAATGTAAAATTTTCTTTTGAAATCTATTTCAAGTAAATTTCACCAAAATACCTATTATTCTCACTCATAAGCACTCAGTGATAAGAGCTGAAGGCCGACTACGATAAAGTAATGGGAAATTAACGTAGGTTATTTATTGTATATTTGTTCTTTGCTTCTCTCATTTAATTCTCTGCTATAATCCCAACATCTACAAGAGTGCCTAGCAACAAATACATATGCAGTACTCAAACAAATTCTAATAAGAGAGATTATTAAAGATGAAGAAGCTAGAAATGGATCCACAATGAGAATTACTAAAAAAATAAAAAATAAAGATCTCAAATGCCTGGATGCTAGAATCAGATGAAGCTAAAATTCCATTGTTCTATTGAGACTAGATATTAAGTGTACTTTTCAATTGGAAATTAAATATTAATTGAAGAGGAATGAACCCTTTGGAATCTGGGCAGGCCAGACCCAAATCATTAATGTTCACCCAATCTTAGTTCGCCCAACTAGGATTTGGGTCAATAAGGCACCGGTTCCTCAATGACAACTCAGATTAAGGCTACCTGCCCGGCCATCCTTGCAGAACCACTGCTAAGTATCAAGTACCATTGAATGCATTCTTTAGTAATCTGCTATAAGCAAAATGTCCTTATTACAACGGGCATAAGAATGGTGTCACTGTGGCTGGCTTGGGGCGTGGGGGGGGACAGGGATCTCCCAGAAAAGAACTTTCTCATCAGCAAGTTTCCGGACAGCTGCCCACTGCGAGTTCTTATGGATCTCCCCCATTTGAAGGTCAGGTCTCCCCTGGGTGGCCTCTGGCAATGACTATGCATGGTGCCTACTAAGATCTGGCCATTTCTGTCCACGATGGGACTCTCTCCTCTAGAGGCAATCTTTGGTCCGAATGCTACGTTGCACTGCCCTAGATTCCCAGAGCTGCACCCTAGTCAACTGCTTTTTTGTTCATCCCTCCTGCCTGCCTTCTCTCCACTCACAGTGCCAGGCCCCACCACAGCTGGAGGCTCGCTCTGTCTTCTCCCCTTTGTCTATGTTGGCATCGCCTCTAATGAATGTGTCGTCATATGTAAGCATTTTGAGCTTTGACTTTTAAGATGGTTGATTTCTTTTTGCTCTCATTCCACATCATGCATTTGTGAATAGAGGTAATAAAGCATTATTTTTAGGCCACAAACCCCTCAAAATGCTAACCACCATCCGATGTCCGTCTAATTTAACCACGACTGGGCTTGAGAAGTTTCAGCGATATTTCTTGAGAGCAGCCTTGAGCAGCACTGCCCCAGCCAATCAAAGTTCTCAGTCATCTCCCAATAGCCCTTTAGGGTGGGGGCCAAACTCTTCCCATTCACCAGCCCGCCCGCTGAGTCTGCTTCCACGCTGACATGGGCTTGCTGGAGGCCAGCTGGGAGTGACCAGCAGCCATAATGCCTTCAGCTCTGAGTGATCTGCTCCTCGTAGCCAAGCTCCAGTTTAAACGTTCTTGCATCGTGGTTCATAAGTCATGCTGTACATTTGCACTTGAGGAGGCTCAACTGGGTATCTAGGGTTTTGCCTTTATAAGCAGCTTCTCCTTCAGACGCTCCAGACCTAACTTCTCACGCATGGTGTGAGGGCAGAGGGCATGTCAGCTGCGCAGGGCTCTGTGGATGAGCTTTGGGTCTTACCAGTGCGTTAAATCTGCAATTCCATGGGCAGCCACTGGTACCAACGTGTATTTCACATGGAGGCTTTGCCAGCATGAAAGTCATAGTCACCATTAATTTAGACCAGAATTCTCTCTTTAAAAAAAAAAAAAAAATTACCCCACTACCAGAGTTTCCTTATTTATATATTTTAAGAGGGGTAAATTTGTATTTTCAAACTGTGTTTCTCTCATTTGCCTTTCCAACGTGAGTGTAAAAGTCTAAGGGAAGAGAATTCATCTGGGAAGATGAGCTTGGATAGGGCCAAACAAAATGGATACAAATCTGGGCTTCTTATCTTGAGTAAGCTCAGTAAGCCAATATATTGAGTAAGATCTTTGGGCCTCTGTCTCTCATCTTAGGAAACAGGGATCAATGAAAACTGCTGGCCTTGAGAGGGTCTGCCAGCAGTTGCCATTGAGCATGGCACTGAGGGCAGGGCTGCTTTCCTCTTGAATGGAAGTCTGCAGTCGGCATGAAAAAACAAAATTGTGTGTTTTCATTCAGACTCAAGCTTCACCCTGTACTATGAATTTGCTAATTCCATTTGGTTTAAACCTAAAGAGAGCACGTGGGCACTTGGCCCTGTGGCACTTCCCACCACCATAAACGCTTTCCTGGCCTCTGTTTTAAAAGTGTTACTCACGGGCCTGCCTTAGCATTGAATTTCCAGGATTACGAAGGAAAGAGTTAACATTCACCACCACCTTTAGCACAGGGCTCCGTGGAGACAGGGTGAGCTGTGAGCCCACACCAGGCCCACAAGGGTGGAGACGGGCCTTAGCCGACTCCTGCGCTTCGCTGCTGGAGTCACCGGAGCAGAAGGGCCGCGTTGACCTTTCTCTCTTCAGAAGACGTCTTCAAAGAGCAAGTTTTTGTTTCTTAAATGCTTCTTCTAGGTTTTGAGTTTTGAAAACCATCATCGATTTTCCAGTGTCCATTACAGAATGTTCTTCTTCTCTGGGGAGGTGAAGGAGCCACCCCTGGAAGCCACAGAGCAGTCGGCTACCACGCAGGGCGGAGCCGGCCGAGCGGGAGGGGCCGGGCCAGGTAGCACTGCTGCCTGCGGACCCCGCTTTTGTCTTTGCCATCAATCAGTATGATGGGAAAATACTTGTAGTGTTCGATGATGTCCTCCACCGAGTTGAACTTCTGAAACACAGAACAGGAATTTAATGGCAACTTAGGCAGCGGCTGTGTCTGTCCACGACAGTGGAGGCTTAAGATGCCTCGCCTTACTTGGGGAAGGGCGAACTCATTTAAAATTAGATTGCAAAGGTGAGTCAGAAAGTGATTTCTTTTAAAGGATGTGGCAAACAAGTCTGGGACGGATGCATGATAAGATGACAAGGGCACAGGGGAATCTAGGCGCCTGGGGGCCCAAAGCGAGCTCTTCAGAGACTTTGGAAATCTCGCCTCTGCAGGTGCCCACCATTCAGGCCAGCAGGTCCACTCTGGGGTGACCCCAAACTTCAGCGGACCCGAGAGCGATTCAACAGCTCAGTCCACAGCAGGCAGCTGCGGGAATCCAGCATGGCGCCGCCCCTTGTCCCCACCCGCTGCCAAGCCCAAGTGAAGAAGTTGAGGCTGCCACTCTCTGGTAAGCTGGCAGAGAAGCCTGCAGTGCACACCCTTCCTCCCCGCCCGCCCCACCTCTCGTTCTCAGGGATTCTAGCACAACCAGAAAGAAGCTAGTGTGTAAATGTTTGCATTAAACGTTTGCATCTAGCAGGTCATAAAGACGGGAGGCCTATGGCCCAGGGCCACGGCTGCTGCAGCTCTCAGCCAGCTGCACTTCCTTCCCGGGCTGCTTGTGCAATAACCGAGTGGTTGCCCGTCGCTCTGCAATGAAGGGCTGTGGCAGTTTAATGGAAAGTTAGATTATTTCAGTTTTATGGGAATCAGGAAGTCCTTATTTTCAGATGCAGACATGCTATAGGCACATGCGGGACGGCTGGGGGAGGTTTCTGTATATTAAAAGCAGAGGAAGAAGCATAAACAAAGACAGGCGTTGAGATAGGAATTGTGAGATAGGAATTGTGAGTCCTGGAAAGGGGAGATGGGGAGATAATTGAGAAGAGTTTCAACAACCCGCCCTCTGTGTCCTGAGTGTTAGGGGGCAAAGGCTGTCCTAAAGCTAATTCCATATAGGCTTTGTGGACTCCACCCCCACCCCAGGCCAAAGCCAAAGACACTGGGAACTCCAAATCCCATCCCCACCCAAGGGAAGGTGGCTGGGACCTGAGGGAGGGTTAAGCAGCCAGGTTGGTATAAAGCCAGACACATGGGCTTTGGGGGAGTCCCCCATTTTGGCTCCCCGCCAGCTCGCAGCGTCCGGCCAGCTCTGAGAGTGACTTTGGGTTTCCAGGTCGGCGGATCGGGTAGGACGCATGAAAGACTTTATTTTCCTATTTTCTCCCTGAGTTGTACATTTTCCTTATTTCCTTTTCCCTTGTAAATAAACCTTTTATGAACCTTTTGTGTGTGCCTGTAGTGGAGTATTCATAAGTCCCTTTTAAGCGCACGGGTGAGGACCCACAGCCAGGCAACCCGTTCAATATTGGGGCTGTCCTATAACATGAGGACACCTTCATTTGGGGTTTTTAGCCTCTAGAATTCGCAGAGAGTATATTTCTGTTATTTTAAACCATCAAGTTTGTAACAATTTGCTACAGCAGCTAAATTTGAATTCAGACCTGAATTTCTTGCCACATGGCTAGTGCTTTGACCCCGATTCCTGATCAGCGGCAAAGCAGGCCTTCCCAGGCTGGGTCTCTGCAGCTTATGTGGGTTGCCCCATGGGCCTCATCTGCCACACTGGACCCCAGTGTGAGCTATTGCTGGCCTATGGCGGGGGGTTGGGGGTGGTCAGATAGGTCTTATGAACATACCACCTAAGATGACTACCCATACTTACAAAGCACCTGCCTCTGTGTGGCCTGGTTTTATTTCCATCACTTCATCTTACAATCAGAACGATTCCCTTAAAATCGGTGTCCCTGCATTGTACGTGTGGTTAAATTCTAAAGTTTGCAAGGTCATCGCAGCCACACAAGTCAAAAATATCCTTGAAAACCCTATTTCTCATTATTTTTTTTCTGTGCAGAGTCAAACAAAATGGGAGTAGCTGGCTTGCCTGTAGCAGAGTCTTGCCATAACAACTCTGCTATCTGCTTTTGAAGTTGCAGATTCTTCCTCAGAAAGACAAAGGGCTCCCACTGTGAAAGCCTCCAGAGAACTGAGGGCAGGCAGAAGTCTCACACCTTCCTGAAGAGCCTCAGGAAGGCAGGAAGAACCACCTGTGGACCTAGATGCCTCACGCAGTGCCTGAAGCTCAGGAAGAAACTCCATCATTGTTCACTGTCCTTCAACCAACACTTGGGCTGATTTCCAGTGGGCCTGGACTGACCGCCTTGGGTCATGATGCTTTCTGAGACTGTGCACAAATGAGTGTTTTTGCAGACTACCCCGAATCTCTGGGGTTCTTCTTTCCAAAAGGGTCAGATAGGCTTTTTCAGGTGCCCACAGTAAGCCTCTGACACCTTGGGGTGGGAACTACAGGCCCAGAAGGCTCAGAGGTCTATCCCATAATGTAAAGAAAGCATTGTTTGGGGTGAGAGCAGGGAGGACCCTGGAGATTTAAGAGAAGTTTTTCTCCTTTTCTGAGTCCTTTGCCCTTTTCCTAATCTGTGAAGCCATTGCTGCCCCCCCCCGCCCCGCCTTTATGACCTACAAGAATGTAGTTGTGGGGGGGTCTCATCCGGGTATGGGGTTATCAGGGAACATTTGCTCTGAGTATCTCATCTTTACTCTGAGGATGAGGTCACCCCCATATTGTCTGTCAAATGAAGTGCTTCCCCCGCTCCCCGCCTCCTAGCCCCCCCATGGCCCAGGACTCTAAACACTGCACAGACATCCTGGGTCTGCTCCACTACTCTTTAGAAGGTACAACTGCAACAGGGTGGTCCCCAGGAAAGGGGGAGGTTCCCTGCCCCACCCAAGGGAGGTGGAGCTGAGCAGCAAGAGAAGAAGCTGCAAGAAGAGACTGAGGAAGGAAGCAGGATGGAGCCAGGAGACCTGGAGGAGGCACACGGAGCCTAGAGACACGTGAAGAAACTGTGCTTGTCTTTTGGTCGTGGACTGGGTGACACAGATGTGGGTGAGACCCGTGGGGAGGTGACAATGGCAGCTTTTATCTTGATGTTGATTTTGCTCTTTTCCTTCCGGGCTTGTCCGGTTGTTTGTGACCCTTTTCTGTGGGTCCCCACTGGAAGATGCTTTAGACTTGTGGCAGGCTTTGGGGCCTTGTTCTGGACCAATCCCATTTGGATGGACTTTTACCCACGAGGGGACGGGTAACTTTGGGTGCTTCATTTAGAAACTAGACTCTTTGCCTTTCCTGTATTGTTTCCTAGTTTTATTAAAGTTCCTTCCCATTAAAGTCTCCTATGTTTTGTGTTGATGCGGCGGATGGCAGAACCCATTTAGAATAGGCAGGTTTGCGGGGTTTGGGCTGCCCCTCTCCCTGTCCTATAACACAACCACGCAAATTCTCCACACACGTTATTGAATTGATATTGTTAGGGGGATAAAGGATGTCTGTAGTGGAGTATTCATAAGTCCCTTTTAAGTGCACGGGTGAGGACCCATAGCCAGGAACCCGGTCAATATCGGGGCTGCCCTATAACAATATTTCCCTGTCTAACCCATCCGATGCTCATTCAGTGACTGAGAACCCAGAAGGGTGGGGCATGACTTCCTTTGCATCCTGACAATTTCCAGCTTTGCCAAGTATTAGTCCAGTGACTTAACTTCTCTGTGCCTCTGTTTCACCCTCTGCTAAATGAAGAAATGGGCAGCACCTCACTCATGGGGCGAACTTGGGGATCAAATCCATCGAGCTGGTAACTGATGGCTAAGTGTACACTCGCGCCTGTGCATGGGGAAGACAAGTTAAATAAACACACAATGCAAGTGTGTTACATAACGTAAATAACACCATGCAAAAATACAGTGTTAAATAAATACATGAGAAAGGATCCTGCCTGGGGGATGCATGGGAGGAGAAAATTCTGGCATAGCCCCCAAAGAGTCTTCTTAAACAGGCATTTGAGTCCCTCACCTGTTCACCTGCTGAGGCATCAGTGAAGGAGGGATGCCAGGAAGCCCTTAGGACATTACCACAGGCCCCTTCTCCTCTGCCATCAGCGGACCCAAGCACAGCACTTGGGGAAGAAAACTTTTGCTCCCCAGTCTCATAACTTCCTCACTGCCCATGGGGCATGACTGCTGGGTCCTTCCCAGAGTTGGGAGGGGGGGTTGGGGGGTAGATCAAATGTGAGAATAAATTTCAAAGTGTCCCCCTTGGCCAACATGGTTGGTTTCCATTTTCTACAATCTCTAAGGAGAAGGAATCTTAATCCCAAGAATTTAAAATACATGGAATTTTTTTTGTTGCTGTTTAATGAGAAGTTTTGTGAGATGGGTGATGCTAAGTGGAACTCAACAAGTTCTAGAAGCTTAGACTTGAAAACCTTAGAGGAAACTAAAGCCAGAGCAATAAGGTGACAGGTCTGAGCTCACACACTTGATCCGTAGAACCTGGACCTTGAGGCTGGCTTCCTTCCTCCTTTGCTCTCTGCTTCTCACTGCCCTCCACTTGCCACCTATGAGTTGCTAGCTATTGACTTGATTTTCTGAGCCCTACTTTCCTCATCCAAGACAGGGGTGATCATACATCAAAGAAGGACTGAGGAGTTAACATGAGCTGATGCAGGTCTACCAGGTCTGGCAGGAACACAGTTGGTGAAAATCAGCATCCTCACTCCTTTCTCTTTGATGAATTACACAACTGTTTGTGAACGTTTTTGCTGGTCGGAACTGGTTTCAGAGAGTTTGAGCCAGTCAGAAACCAGTTTTATCCAGTTGGAACCAGTTTCAGCTGGTCAGAACCAGTTTGAATTGGTTGGAACTGATTTTAACTGGTTTGAGACCATTGGAAGTAGTGTTAGTTGGTTTCAGTTTACGTTGTTCTTAGTTACTGGTCTCCGTTTCAGTTGATGTGAACAAGTCAGTACCAGATTCAGCCATTTTCAGCCAGTCAGAGCCGGTTTTTGCCAGTCAGAACTAGTTTCAGTTGGTTAGAACCAGTCAGAACTGGTTTTGGCCAGTTGGAGCTGGTTTGAACTGGATGCAACTGGTTTTAGCTGGTCAGAACTGATTTCAGCAAGTTTGAGCAGGTTGGAACCAGTGTTAGTTGGTTTCAATTTCAGTTGGTTTTAGTTATTTGAACCAGTCAGAACCACTTCAGCCATTTTGAACCAGTTGGAGGCAGTGTTGAAGTCAGTGTCAGTTAGTTTCAGTTACAGTGTTTTCAGTTGGTTTCAATGTCAGTTGGTGTGAACAAGTCAGACCCAGATTCAACCGTTTTCAGGTTTCAGCCATTTTGAAGCAGTCAGAACTGGTTTTATTGCATCTTATCCACTGGAACCGGTTTTATACAGTCAGAACCAGTTTTATCCAGTCAGAACCAAACCACTGGAACCAGTTTTATCCAGTATGGTTTTATCCAGTCAGAACCAGTTTTATCCAGTCTTATCCAGTAAAACCCAGTCTTATCCAGTAAGAACTGGTTTTATCCAGCCAGAACCAGATAGAACTGGTTTTAACCTGTTTTATCTAGTCAGAATCAGTCTTAAGAACCAGTTTTATGCAGTCATATCCAGTCAGAACCAGTTTTCAGCTGCTGTTATCCAGTTAGACCATCTGAAACCAGTTCTGACGGGAAAAACCAATTTCAACTGGCTGAAAACGGTTGAAACTAGCTCTGACTTGTGTAAACCAACTGAAAATGAAACCAACTGACGCTGGGTCCAAGAGGCTCAGACCAGCTAAAACCATTTTGGACTGATTTACACTGAAACCAGCTGAAAGTGAATGAAACTAGTTCTGACTGCTTCAGACAAGATGAAACCAGTTTCAGCCAGCTGAAACCGGTTCTGACCATGTCAAACTGGTTGAATATATTTTAAAAATAGCAGAAACTGGTTCCGACCAGTTCAAACCAGCTAAAAATGGTTCTGACCAATTCAAACAGGTTCAATCCAGCTGAAACTGGTTTCTGACCATCTCAAACTGTCTGAATAAACTGTCAGGCAAAAACCAGTTCCAAGTGGCTGAAAATGGCTGAAACAGGTTCTGAATTGTTCACATCAATTGAAAATGAAACCAACTGACACTGGCTCTGACTAATTCAAACCAGCTAATAGCAGTTTTGACTTATTCCAATCAGTTCAAACCAGCTGAAACTGGTTTCAATTGTTTCAAAGAGGTTCCAGCCAGCTGAAAACGATTGGTCCAAGCTGGTTGAGACTGGTTTTGACCAGTTCAAACTGACTGAAACTGGTTCTGACTGGCTCAAGGCAGTGGAGACAGGTCCAAGCCGGCAGAGACTGGTCCAAGCCAGTGGAAACTGGTTCAGGCCTGCTGAGACAGGTTCTGACTGGTTCAGAGCCAGCTGAAACCTGTTCTGACCGGTCCAAGCCAGTTGAAACCTGTTCCGACTGGTTCAAGTAGGCTGCAAACTGGGTCAAACCTGCCAAATCAGTCCAAACCTGCTGAAAACAGTTCCAACTATTGTAAACTGTCTGAATACAGTTCTGATGGGCAAAACCAGTTCAGACTGGCTGAAAATGGCTGAATCTGTCTGACTTTCACACCAACTGAAACTAGAAACCAAGTGAAAACACTGTAACTGAAACCAACTGACACTGGCTCTGATTTGCTCAAAATGGCTGAAAGATGTTTATCTTATCCAGTCATATCCAGTCAGAACCAGTCTTGGCTGGTTTCATCTGGTTGGAACCAGTTTGAACTGGTTTCAGCTGGTTGGAACTGGTCTCATCTGGCTGGAACCAGTGTGTAGGGTAAGGAAAAATGTCAGGTTTTTCTGCCCTCCCGCCATCAGGATAGATGATGGATCCTTGAGGTCCTGAATGCATGCCTGATGGCGGGCACCTGGAGTAGGGTGTGGGCCTAGGTAGATGGGATTCACCTGGGCTAAGACTGTGCTTTTAAGGGCGGTGTCACGGGGACGCCAGCAGAAGCCAAGAAGCCGAGAAAGAAGTAGCAGAAGCCGAGCGAGAAGCAAGAGAAGCAGAAGCTGAGAGAAGGCTGGAGAGCCCACAGAGTGAAGACCTGCTGGGGGCTGGGAGGCCTGCCAGCCTCCTGGCCCCCCAGCACCCCTGCCTGCCATATGCCTGGTGAACCCCAATAAAAAGACCTGCAAAAAGCCGCTAAGGATTCTGACTCCTTCTTTACCCGGTCTGCTGGATCAGGAAACCTGCACTGTGTCCATTCTTGCCCCTACATGGTGCCAGTTGGTTTTATAGAGTCAGAACTGGTCTCAGCTGGTGTTATCCAGTCAGAACCAGTTTTATCCAGTCAGAACTGGTTTTAGCCAATGAGAATCAGTCTGGTTGGAACAGGTTTCAGTTGGTTTGAACCGGTTTGAGCTGGTATCAGCCAGTTGACTGGCTGAAATTGGCTGAATCTGGTTCTGACTTGTTCACATTAACGGAAATGGAAACCAACTGACTGGCTTAAAATGGCTGAAACTGGCGGTAACTGTTTCTGACCGGTTAAAATGGTTCTGACTGGCTCAAACCGTTTCCTACCTGCTCAAACTATCTGAAACCGGTTCTGACTACAAAAACCAGTTCTGGCTGTCTGAAATGGCTGATCTGTTTCTAATTTGTTCACACCAACTGAAAATGAAACCAACAAAATACTGTTACTGAAACCAACTAACGCTGATTCTGACCGGCTCAGAATGGTTGAAACTGGTTTGGACCAGTTCAAACCAGCTGAAACCCGTTCAAACCACTCTCTGATTCTCCTGTCAGCACAGCTGCACTGAGGGCAGGCACACTGATGTACAGCTGATGTGGTGATGACATTCAGTAGAAATGCAGACCTACAGTTCCCAACCCTACTGATGCCATCAGATGTGCCCCTGGTGGGAGTTCAGTGCTGGGGTGGGAAGAAATGTAGCCTGAGCATGGTTCCCGGGAGGGGAATTTACAGGTGTCCTGTGGAATGGGTTTTCCTTACCAGGCACGGCGGGGCAGTGGGTGTCTGGCATGGTAGGGCCCGGCTGCTGGTCCTGCCAGCCGACCTTGTCAGACGGGGTGGGCATGTCGGCAGCAGGGGCTGAAGGAGCAGAGTCCATTTCCCACCACCCGGGTGGCGCCGTTTCCTCTCCTGTACTGTCTCTAGCCTGGAAAAGGGAAGCCACCGCGTGGTACCCACCTCATCTCCCCTGAGTCCTGTCCCCAGGGCAAACTGCTGGTTCTTCTCAAGGAAGCGGATCTTCACGTTGTAGACTTTGTTCCCATAAAACACCACCAGAACGTAGGGCTCTGCTCTGGATTTGGTGGAACAATCTCGGACCAAGAAAGTGCCATCCTGAAGAAAGGGAAGAACAATGACCTTCCTGGCTTGCCTGTGGCCCCTCCTCTGCAGAGACTCCTGCCTGGGAGGTTCCCACACTGCAGAACGGCTTCCCGAGCAGAGGCCGTAGGCAATTGGCGTCAGTCTGCAGAAGGGTTCTCGTTATTTGCTGGGCAGTATGCAAGTCACACCCAGTTGCAAATCTCCACCCCCCTGCTGTTCCCAGGGAGCTGCCTGCAACCTCAATGAAAGGTCCATGGTCACTGCTCAGCTGTCTGTGGTTTCACCTCCCACCCTCCCATCCTCTGCCCCTGGCTCCAGTCAAGCCAGCATCTCCCAAAGGCTTCTAGTCTCCCGGAGGAGGACCCCTTCCCCAGCAGGCAGCCATGTTTGCACGCTCCCTGTTCTGCCTGATGCGCAGGTCACTCCAGAGAGAGTGGGGGCCACAGCACGCTGCCCGAGGAAGGGGAACTTAGCACAATAAGTGGGGGCTCTGTGTGGGCAGTGTCCATCCAGGGGGAGGATTTTATGCAATCAAGCTGTGAAGGTGAGTGGAGAGGCTGTAGGAGGGAGGGAGGGAGCAGCAGGAAGGTGGGGCCTGGGAGCATGGGGAGAAGCCGAGGAGCCTGGGCCGAGGTGCAGCAAGTGCAGGGTGAGGACAAGGAGGCGTGAAAGGTGCTTAGGAGGCTGTATGGAGGGACACAGGGAAACCCCAAAGCTTCAGAGTACAGGAGCCCAGCATGGCGAGGGAGCGTTCAGGTCAACATGTGTGGTGGCCGGAGGCTTGCCGGCTGTCCCTGCAGGAGAGCTGAGGATGCAAGGGGGCTGTAGAAGGCTAGGAAATGGTGCCAACCCCTGCACCTCACACCTGCCGGCTGAGTTCTGAGATGGCAGCACCTTCCTTATGTGGTGAAATACACTGAGCCAGCTGCCACTGCGCTTGCGCGTTGCCAGATGATGGTATGTGTGATGGGAAGGCTGGGGTGGGAGCTACAGACCCAGGTCCATGTGCTGTGCTGACACTTCCCCTTCACAGAGAATCTAAATATCGGATAAACTAGATGGTCGCTTTATAGTCCTCTCTGTGGAGCACACTACTCTATGTAACCAGAGATGATTCCAGAACAGCGAGAACGCTGGGGGGCTCACCTTGTTCTCCTTCATCAGCGCCTCTTCCACTGCCTGGCGGCTGTATTCTCCAATGTACCACTCATTGTGGGGCACATCCCACTGTCCAGGCTAAATGATGCATATTTTAGGGTGAAAGAGAAGTGTCATTAATGGGGTCATTAATTAAACTTTACTTTTGCCCCATCCATGTGAAATCACAGTCTTAGAGTGGAGCTGCTAATTCATCTAGAAAGATGGTGCCCAGAGGCTTCCTACCTTGTCCTCAGATCTTGCCGGGGAAGGTCTTCTCCAGCTTGTGTTTTTATAGCACAACAAATTGTTGTGGTAGTCGTGGCTGGCTGGGGAAGGACATCTCTGCGGAGAATGGAACCGCATGGTTTCTTGATGATCTGGGGAGAGTTCATTCAGGTCACATTTGAAGCTGCTTTGTTCCTGTCTCAGATTTCCTTCCTCCAACAGGAGCCGAGATCTGCTTCTCCTCCCCGTGTCTGTGGCACCTTTTGGGGGTTCCCCCCACACCTTCCACTCACTCCAGGCCAGCACCCCTCACCCTGCCCTGCCATTGTGTTCTTGCTCCAGCCTTTGCTCCTCTCCATTCTCTCCAGGGCATCTGGGTAAATTCTCCCACGGTTTCCCTGGGAACAAATCCTAACATTTTATTTCTGCCAATAAAGCCCTAGATAATCTTTCTCTTCTTATTTCTCTACCCATCTCTCATCCCCCATTGCCCTGTTCTGGTCCTAACAAAAATGGTTCAGTTTCTTAAACAAGTCAGGCTCTTTCCCAACTCAGGAAACGCCATTTTTCTTAACTGGAAAGAACTTTCTGTTTTCATGAAATACCGTTTTTTTTTTTTTTTTTAACCTGAGAAAACAACTGGCAAACTGTGGTTACTCAGACTTGGACATTTGCTAGATGTTTTATTTAAAAAGAACAAAATCGAGTTTGTCACTTCGTGGAAAACAACTGGCAGTATTTGTTGCCAATTATAAAATGAGCTTTTTAAATGCAAATAGAAATTTGGAAAAAATTGTAGTTGCTGCTAGACCAAAATCCCAACGTTTGACTTTTTTACCGAGGTAGGTGGTCTTACTTGCAAATGAGATTTTTAAAATATTATATAATAAAGTCCATAAACACTGGCAAGTTCTGCTCAGGTCTGTGAATCATTATTTTCCAAGGCACCCAGGTAGGGTGCTATGGAATCTTTCATGGGTAAGAGAGATTCTAAAGAGCAAAAAAAAAAACAAAAAAAACCTAACAGTAGAAACAGTGTGATTTCACATGTCACCCAAGGTTTAAGATACTGTCCTGTGTGGAGTTTGATGTGGCATTTTCTCTGGACACTTCAATGAAAGAAACACACTTCCACCGCAAGCCATTCCAGAAAACACTAAAAAGAGTTTCAGGAAATTAAGACCACGGGAATGAGGTCTTAGAAAGAATGCTAAAGAAAGAGGTTGTAATATGTTGGCAATTTTAAGCAAGGATTAATTACATAAAAAAATAACAGAGGCTTGAGGGCATCAAAACGATATGGGCATAAGTTCTGGACAATACTACCATCTACGGTGGCCGGGGGTGTTAGTGTGAAGGCAGAATTCTAAGCCATCTCACCTTAATCCAGCCTAGGAATAGGCCAGTTACACTCCTGCCTGGTAACTTAACCAGAACTTTGAAAAAATGGATGCTTTTGACACTGCATTTTAGAAGGCTCACTACTAAACGAAACATTAGGCAATGTTTACATGCTGGTTGCCATAACATTTAGGTTAGATGCATATTTGTCCAGCTACTGGTCTTCCAAAGCCAAGTTTCTCCTTAAGTTTACTGAAAAGAACAAAAATGGCTTCCCAAACATTGAAAGTTCTAGTTTGATGTTCTAGCTCTCACTCTTCATGCGGAAGCTGAGGGTGCCTGTTGGGGGAATTTCGTGATTCAAAACAGAAGTCGCCTGTTATCTGACAACTGCCCAATCACTGAAATTTAAATACATTCGTCACAGCAAGCTGACTCCATCCACCAGTTTGTGACCTTGAAAACCGGAAGAATGTCAAAGACATCTCTCCTTTAAAATGTTATGTTGTAGGGCCTCCCTGGTGGCGCAGCGGTGGAGCGCCGCAGCCTCTGCCGGTTCGTTCCCTGGCCGCCGGCGAGGGTCCCACAAAAAAAAAAAAAAATTAAAAATAAATAAAATGTTATGTTGTAAGTTAAAGAGCTTAATTTTCCAACAGATTGCTGATCTATATGGTTAGAATAGAAGCTTCTAGATCTTTTCCATTATTTGGGAAGAGGGTATGAAGCACATATTTTAAAAATTCAAGTATGTTTTTATTGAAAAAGTAGAGTAAATCATAATGAATACTAAAGTGTACACGTAGCATTAAAACTCAGATGCAGATTCCAGTGTGAATGTTGCAGGCATGTGCTGGGTATAAAGACACCCACAAACCATGAGTGAGAGGGTGGGGACTGTACCAGGTGAATCCTGGCCTAAGGAAAGCTGAAAGAGTCACGGCGACTACAAAAAATGGTTTCAAAACTTTAAATTGTAGTGAAGCAACACATAGAGACTTATCACTGAAATGGCCGCAACTACTCAAAGTGGATGGAAAGAGTAGACCATGCTTGGGAGGCGAAACTAACCTTCCTCAGCACTCCCTCTGACTTAGTTTGTACAGCACGAATAACCAGTGTTCAGCAATTATGAATTTTTCATGATATTGCAGCAACGGATTTATTATATTTCAACCCTTCGTGCCTTGCTTGAATATTAAAATAGTCCTACTTGAACAGAAGCATTTGGAAACAGCAGTTTGCATATGTAAGTCTATTCAGAAAGTGAGTTACATAAAACACAACAAAACCCCCAAATTTTCCCCTGAAGTTTTGGTGGGATCTTTGTTTAATGAATAAATGAGTCGATAATGAGCAGATAATGTGAGTCTCTAAAGCACTACAAGTAGTTAATTGATTTTGTTCTAAAATAACGGCAGCTAATGTTTGAGAAATTTTCGGGATGTGAAACATTGCACGTGGGCTTCAGGGGGTCTCCATGAAACTAAACTCTCCTACCTGGAGGTGGAGGAGCGAGCATGAAGAGATTGGCAGAGCAGTGGAGGACCACCAGGGAAGTGTCTGTGTAGTGCTAATAAAATTTGCCATAGGACTCCAAGGTGGCTCAAGGGGTTAAGACACAACCTATGAAGCTGTCCCCAGCCTCTGCAGCATGAGTTTGATCCCCGGCCAGCCAGGCAGCTACCCACATGGCACGGCAGACCTCTCCTGTCCTGCCCGCTGCTCCCCTTAGCAGTGTATTTCAGTGGATCTGCCTGTTCTGCTCCCCACTCTGTCTCTGGGGAATCCTCTCACCCCCCACACCTCTGGCCTGCACCCCAGCTCTTGTATGCATAAATAAATAAATCTTTAAAAAAATAAAATTTGCCACAGGGCAGTCTAAGAACAAAGATATTGGCAGTGAGATCACATGGATATCATCAATTACTAATATTTTATAATTCCTCAGTATGAAGAGGTCTTAGCACAATGCCTGATCCTTCCCAGTCGCCCAGTAAATGCTGCTGCTAAGGTGGTGGGAGAAACACAGCCCTCCACCTTTCCCCGGCTGCTCTAAGAGCAGTGTCTTTAAGCAGGTATCCGTACACGTCCTTATGTAACTTACCAGACAATTTTAATTTACTCTTACATACAATTTAAAAAATAATTTTACAGGAGTCATAGCTCTGAAGGTGTATTTACCAAACGCACACAGAAAAAGAAGATATTACTGAGCACTCAAAGCAAAAAGCAAAAAAGAAAGACACCAGCCACACTCACAAACTTAGAGAGCAGTGGGGGCACTGCTTTCAAGCAGAACCAAGCCATTTAGGATCCTCTTCCCACAAAGCAAACTATTTACTTTTGGTCCCAAAATCCATCCGCTTACACTGCTGATGGCTTAGCTGCAATCGCTTAGCGCATCACTAGGCCAAGTCTGTTCATCAAGGGGTCAGTGCACTCTTGGGATGCGCCAGGCCTCACCCAGACCCCCCTCTCACTGGCAAGGGTGGTGATGGATGGAAGCAGCCCCATGGCCCTCCATGAGGGTCCCGCGTCCTCTCTGGGGGCGCTTGAGCGAACACTTAGAAGCTCCGGGGCGACCCTGGCAGAAGAGCTCAGAGAGTCCTGGGGTTGTGGCTACTTTCTGTGGCGCGCACTGGTGATCCAGAGGAAGACTTTTACCCTAGCAAAGAACATCTTTTCAGTAAGTTGGAGGTGCCTCCCAGGTGCTTAAGCACAGGTCAGCAGAGGGCGGGGTGTCTCTCTTCTGTATTCTTACAGCCAAGCCGATTTTGGGTACAAAAAACCGAGTGCTTGGTGGAGCATAGTTTTATTTATGTACGAACTGTCCTCGAAGTCCCTGGGGCCATGCTCTCCCCTGTCCATCCCCTCTCCTGCTCTCAGCATCCTGTTCCCGCCAGGGCTGGGGCTGCTACATTAATGTAACAACATGCTCTCAACTGATGAAAGTGGCCTGGTCACGTCTGGACATACCAGCTCAGCCACTCTGGGGGCCTTGAGAGCTGGATCACAGAGCAGGAACACGGTCATGGGGTGACTTACCTGTGTCATTATGATGCTCACCTAAGGTTCTTTTACCCCACTTCTGGGCGCTGTCGTTGCTCGTCAGGAATGAAGAGCTACAGGAAATGTGGAATTGAAGGATGTTAGTGTTTCCCGTTCCAGGTAAAATGCCACCCAAAGGCAAGGCCATGGTAACAGCTAAGGTCACACGTGCAAAGCACCTAAGATTTTAGTGGGTGCACTAGAGGAATCGTGTGAAGTGTCATGAGGGAGAGGTTTGTTCTTTCTCCTTGTTCTCAAGGTGGACAAACCTGGCCCCTAGAATTCCTTCCCTGAGCAGACATCCTGATTCTTCACCCATGGAAGCCACCAGCTTAGACTTGCCTCGTGACCACTGTCACTGTAGAGACTGGTGGGTGGCTGGTCAGGGCTCATGGTCCGCAGAGACTGTCCCCCATGGGAGGAGAGTCAGCAAGGAAGGGAGGGGGGAGAGAAGTCATTTTATTCCTTCCTGAAGTGTGAGCTTGGTGAGAAAACTCTGTGGTTGATTATAAGTAAATCCATCATGAAAAGAGATTTTCATAAATATAATCAAAGCCAGCCAGAAAAGCACCTGCCTTTCTGGCCGTCATGATAATGTCACCAGCTGTTCATGACTGGCTTGTTTGCATGTCACTTAATGCTGAGCTTTACTTAACACTTGGCTCTAATTTTCTGGTTCATTCGGTGGTGTGGTCGGCCCTGTCATTATAGGCTTTAGGTGCTACTGCAGTTTAAACCTAATTACACAGAACCAGCTCTGCCAGGGACAACGCTATTCACTACAACCTCTGGGTCCACTTCTAGCACTGATGGAATCAGCTAGTATTGTCATCTCCATGGAAACCTGGGGTCTTAAGGCTTGCTGTGTAGTTTAGTATCTATGCCGCCTCAGTGAGTACTTGCTTTGTAGTGTGAGATGCTGGGGATCATTTAACCACCACGTGTGCTATCACCCGCTCCCGGTGACACCAGAGACGCTGGCTGCTAGAACCAGTCTCCTTAACTTGGAGCTGGGGTGCGATTTTATTGCATGTCTGGGAAAACCATCAATAGCAAAATTTTTCTGCTTTAATTTTTCAGGATTTTTAGAAAATATTGAAAGAATGTGGGTATTCTCAAGTACAGCGTTTATAAAAATAGAAACCTCCACCAACAAACTAACTACGATAGTCAGGTAGTTCTTACATTTTACAAACATGTTGTGTGTGTAGCAGGAGGGGGCAGGTTTGGGGAATAGCAAATGAATAAGGCATGCCCGTGCCCTATAGCAGCCGAATTTAGGGAGGAAAGAGAATTGGATCACAGTCCCAATATGGGGTAAATGCCTTGCAGACGGGCTGCAGCAGACCCTGTGCTGGCAGAAGGTCACTTGCCCACATACCGTTGCTCTGGATCTCAGGAAAGACCTCCTGGGAGACATGGTAACTGGTCCGACACTGACAGATGAACAGGGGGTGGGGAAGGCGTGAGGGTGTGTTCCAGCGGAGGGAACAGCATGTGCAAAGGCTCAGAGGCAAGAAAGCATGACTTATTCGTCAAGAGAGCAGAACTTAGATCCTTCTGACTGGAAAGGAGGGCATAGAGGTGAAAAGCAGATGGAGATGAAAGTCAATGGCTATTGGAACAGCCCAGGCAAGAGCTGGTGGTGTCTGGTTTATGTGAGCTCAGAAAATATGGAGCAATGAATGGATTCGAGATGTGTGTTGGAGGTAGAGTTTTGGGAGTTGGGAATGGATGGGACAGGAACAGTGGAGGGAGGAGGGCTTATTTGTTAGGACAGTGAGAACGTCTGTAGGAGGGTAGTGTTGGTTTGGGGGTGAAAGTAGAAACCAGGAGTTCAGTTTCTGACATCATGAGCTCAAGATGCCTGTCAGCTCCCCAAGACGAGCTGCCGTGGGTTGTGGAGCTAAGCAGGGTAGTGGGTCAAAAGAGGTTTAGGGACGCCCGACAGATGTGCAAAGGTCCTAGATGATCCGCTGAGAGGGTGCGGGGGGCGAGGGAGCGAGGGGCATGGACTGAGCCTGGAGCCATGGCCAGGTGGGGCTGCCCAGCACTTAGTGGAGGCTCCAGATTTTGTTTCAAGGAAGCCACCCCCAAGCTACCAACCCCCGCAATGTGTCACGGACCTGAGCCTGAGCTTCCCGGATGATTCAGTTGGGATGCAGACATCACAGTGACCTGGTCAGGCAGCAATTTAACCAGAGCCTGCATTTTCCGCGCCAGCCACCTAGACAGAACCACTCCAGAGTAACTGGGTTTCCATGTGGTCATCAGCTGAGAGGTGGTAGAGAGGGACAACTTCCAAGACTGACCAGCAGTCATTCCAATGAATCCTGTCTGGTTTATATTCAAGTCTGCACATCCCCCAAGCTTCCCTGATGGCCAATCACCAGGTGCAGGGAGGCCCATGTGCTAGCCGCAGCCCCAGCTGAGAAGCTCGGGTCTCACCATTGAGCTTCATGCACAAAGGTCAAAGATTTTTGGTTTCCCAGGGACCCTTGGCACATTATCTAAACAACATGTGGCCTGCTCCCCAGCGGGGCCCCTACAAGGGGCTCCTGGCTTCTTACCTGGCTCCTTACCTGGTAATTGCAACAGGCACCGCTTGAGTATTTTGGTTCTGCGACAGGCAAGACGACTCAGGTTTCCCCTGGCGAGGAGGAACTGCACAAAGGAGACACATTATTTGATCAGGTTGCAAAAGAAAAATGAGTAAGGCCATTAGAAACTGCTGGGACTCTAGAATTCCACCCAAGCAATCTCTGATTATTGGAAGTGGGCTGTCGGTGCTCCGTGGAAGCAGTTACTCCCCTTGGTCCTGGAGAGCACCCTCTCCAGGGCTGTAAGATTTGCTAAGAGGCTTTTAGCTTCATGCATCAGTCATGCAATTTCACCAGTGTTTATCACACACCTCTGTGGGACAGGTGTCCTGCTAGAATCTGGAGATATGATGGAAAACAAGATAGAGATGGTCCTTGCATTCTAGCAGAAGAAAGAGGAAATAAGCAGACAGGCAGACCAGTGAGAAAACTTCAGACAGTGTACGCAAGGCGAGGAAAATAAAGTGCTGCTTTGGGGCAGGAAGTGACCACGAGACCTGCATGACCACTGAGGTCATTTGTGACAGGACAGCTGAACTGAGAGCTCATGAGAGGGGGAGTCAGTGTGCAAGACGTGAGGAGGGGTGCCTGAGCTTGAGACCAAGACCCTCTCCCTGAAGAACCAGAAGTGGAGGCAGATGAGTTGTGCATTTCTGAAAACTTACAAGAAACAGGAAAGTTGAACCTTAATGCTGTGCTGGGTGAGCCGGGGCATGGGGTGCTTAGTGCAGGCTCATGCACCCAGATTTTCATACCCCTCCTGTGATCAGGCCTAAGAGAGACTCTGGGTCCTGAGGTCGACCAGCAGTTCCTACCAGGCATGCATTTTCTCAGTTTTTCCCTCTGGTGTTCGGGTTTTGAGAAGTCCTGCCAACCACACGAGCTGGACCATGTGGTCATTACACATGCCACTGGGGTCACCGCCTTTTATTTCCTCTTCATCACGGAGCGCCTTTAACCAGCTGCCCAGAATCACCAAGGGTAGGTAATAACTCCTGGATATGAAATCCCATAAAACACTCTCCAGTTGTGAGTCTAAGTGATAAAATTAAGGAAGCATATCGACAGCGACGTGTCTTCATTCTGGCCGCTGCTCTGTGCTCTGAAGGTTGCCCGCAGAGTGGACACCTCTGATGACAGGATGGCAATTACTGGAAATGTGATAGGAGGCGGTGACGGGCCCACTAATCCCATGGCCGTAAAGTCACTTCATGCCTCCCACAGCCGCCTGGAGCACCTGGCCCTCATGCACTGCCAAGGTCAGTCGCTGTCAACACCCTGAGGCCAGTGTGGCAACACCTGAGCATTCTGGTTGAACTCTAACGTGCAGAAGGACACTCTGCGTTAGGCTTTAAAATGATTTAAATTGCTCCGCTCCTCCATCTGGGGCTCTTGGGAATCCATCAGCTTGGGCAGGCCTGCTCGGCAGTGTCCTCACTCTGAAGACCAGCTGGCCTGAGACTCAGAGAAAATGCAACCTGGTCAAGGTCACACCGTGAGTGGTGTTGGGGCCTCCAGAGCCCTGACAAAGGGCCCTTGTCAATGTGCCTTGGCTGCGGATGGTGTTCGTCTTCCTAAGTGCAAGGTGACCCTTTCTGTAGGGTTATCCTGGCTGCAAAGGTGGGCATGTTACGGGCTGGTGCATAGTCACAAGCTTCCACAGTGACCCCCAGCCGTGTGCTCGTCTCTGAGTGCAGCGGGGGAGGCCTCGCGTGTATGAGGGTGACATCGCAGCTGGGGAGACCAGGCCATGTCTGTACCACCCGGCCAGCTACATCCTCCCGAGGGGGCCTGGTGACAGCGTGCTGCCTGGTCAGCCTGTGGCTGCAGGGGACTCTCGCCCACCCCCAGCTTAATTCCCCCCACTTAGATTAGAGGACCCTGAATCAACTATGAGGTCCTGGGTCCACCTGGGTCACAGCGTCAAGCACACACACTCTTGTCCTTACAGCCCAGGCTCTGACTCAGTCAGTTAAGAAAAAAATGACTATCACTAATGAAAATGGAATTTAATCTAATGGTGTTAGTGTAAGAAAACAAATATAAAGAGTTTACCTTTCTCTGCTCCAAGGACCTGCACGGAATAAAAAATATAGATGTACATATATTGTTGAATGACTTGGTGATTGAGAATTTTACCTTATATGTGTGTTTTGGGAGTAACTGGTTAGTGGAGTTTGGGCAACATTTTGTTAGGATAGATTTTTTTAAAACATCTACAAATCATTTTCCAAAAGACTGAAACTCCCCCATTTTATGTTTTTGTGTGTGATGTATCCGGCAAGTACAAGCCTGCTGACGTGATTGTGAATTGCTCTGACTCTTGGAAAGCAGTTTAACCACAGCCACAAAGGGACTTAGAAGTCCTCATCCCCAACCCAATAATCCAAAACTCTGCAACGTGGATGAAGTGCTTGTGCGAAGGTGTCAAGTACATCATGACTTCCCCTGTTGGAACACTGGCAGCATCTCCGTGCAAACCAGAAACTAGTTCTGGCGCTGGACTCACTCACTGGGAATATTAAGACGACTTTATAAGTTCTCATGTGGAGTATGGGACAGGATTGCAAACACGCGTGTAGGTGTTGTTACACAGAAAGTTCACACTAACAGTCAGGCTCATGACCTTTTGCACGCAGGTGCGTGTGTTGATGTGTGTGTAGAAAGAAGGATTGGAAGAGATGCCATAAAATATTCCCAGAGCTTTGTTTAGGTCTAAGGATTAATTTCCTTTCTTTATACCTGTTCTGAAACTTATTTTACAGAATGGACAGGAAAAATATTCACATGATTCTGATCAGATGCAGCCATTTATTTATCTTCCCAAAGATTGCCCTTCTCTTTCTTTAGTGGTTGGATTCCTGAACATCCTTCATTATGAGACTCTAATTACTCACTGGACTTGCATCCCTGCGCCCAGCTCTGCTCTTGAAGAACTGACAGAGCTGCAGAGTTTCCTAGAGGGTTAGCCTGGCTGCAAAGACCTTTCTGCAGCCTGCTTTACCGTCGTGTCAGTGGGGAGGGCCTCGAGATCACCACGCCAGAGCTTCTTAGCCTGGAGAACAGAAGCACTCTCTGGAGGGCTTTGTGGGGTCCACCAACTTTCTGAGATTAAAACCTAGATGTTTTCCCTACGGATATTTGGGTGCCGCTGCTGGAGACCCCTCTCCCGGCAGAGGTGGGCAGGCACCTATGCTAGCAGTGAATGCTAAGCCTGGTGGCAAAGGAGGATCTTGGTTCAGAACCTGGATCTAGCTTTGCTCTCATTTCCTCATCCTTAAAATAAGAATTATCACACGCTGGGAGCATGGCCATGGTGGTGACTAAGTGAGATAAAGGCTTTGAAGCAAACAGTATCTTCCCCACCAGGGACACTCACACACAAAAATCCCCTCCTTTGTTTCCAAGGACGAAATTGCTACTTACCTCACTTAAGTTCTTTAGGTTTATCTGTCTGCAAGGCAAAGAAATACAGCGTTACATAAAATATAGTTCATAATTATGGAGATAAAATCATCCTGCGCTCTTAAAAACCCTTGGCTACGTTTTCATGGCCAAATTAATAGTCTGTGGTCCACTGTGGCGTTTATCACTGTCCTATAAAACAAAGGCAGGTTATTTTTCTCATAATTTTATAAGCAAAAGAGGTTACGAGCCAATATAAAAGGCGGTGGCAGGAAGGCATGAATAAACTGGCTTCTCATTTTAGGAGGATTTGAATAACGTCACCGCCCTGGACCTTTGCTCTGTGCTCAGTTTCATGGGCTCCGCCACACCTGCTGCTGCTGCCTTGACGTGTGAGCGCCCAGCGCTGTGCTTGGAGGGAGTGTGAAGGGTGTTCTCATGAGCCGTCAGGGCTGGTGGGGTCCCTGAAGGCATGTGTGAGAGAGAGGATGCTGATAACAAAAGGGGACGGCAAAAAGGCCCCAACGCTGAACCATCAGGCAATAATTGAGCGTGGAATCTGATAGCGCTGGGACTCTTGGATAAAACTGGACGGTCTCGCAAGTACCCCCACGCCTGCTTCTGCGGACAAGCCCGTTAACCTGCTAAGTCTCACGTGCACACCTGCAGTGTGCCCACCCGGGCTTCCTCCAGATGGCGGCTGCGGGAGCTAGAGGGAAAATGGCAATGCTGGTGTTGGGTGGGCGCTGTGCGGGCAATATGGGAGAAGACCGGCAGGTATGGGGGGCAGCGGGGGTGACATGCACATCTGTCTGGTGGTGAAAAGGCAGGGACGAAGAAATGTCAAGAGATTCGTTAAGGCCGAGGCCCCAGTCTCAGTGGGAGGCTGTTGGTGTCGCTATAAAGCTCCATCTGCTTCCAGAAAGGTGGTTCCCTGTCAGAGGCTCCATCCTGGTCTGGGTCTTCAGGGAGGAGGCAGCTGAGGTCCCGCCTATGTTGTCCATCAGAGATAAGATATCTGCTCCCTGCCTAGCCCTTTTAGTGGGGCCAGGAAGAAGATAAGGAACAAATACCCTTGGTGTGAGTTACCTGGGGGCAAATGGAGGCTGATCTCAGTGTTCTGAATGTTTTAAAAAGAGCTGAGAAAAACATGTCAACAGTGGGCTCTGTAACAGTGGCACATACAGGGCTGAGAATTCCCGCCCACCTTCCCCAAACAGCCAGTTCTCTTCTAGTTCTGAGTGTCAATGAATCATCCAAATGGCATTTCTCTAGACTGCAGAGCTTCCATCCAGCGATTGTTTTGTGAGGCCAAGACTTAGCTCAACACAGAGAAAGCAGGGCTGGCGGAGACCTGACCTGCAGGGCCGCAGCACCAAGCAGAGGCCTTGCTGTCCAGGGTGACCCCCCCCCCCGACCCCCGTGGTCAGGCTACTGGCCCCTTGCCCTGCGGTGACCGCAGGCAGGAACCACAGCGCCTGTCCGGAGCCAGATCCACCCCCAGAGCCCGGCGCTGGCCTGGCGAGGGAGAGGCCAGGGGGCCGATCGCCAAGAGAACGTGACCGGTCCTCGGTCATGGCCCTCTGACCGCCTGCAGGGCCCCAGCTGGGAGCCAAGCCCCTGCTTATTCAGGGACCCCCTTATGTTTTTTACATAGTGTCCCCGCTACAGTCTGAATTCACATTTTCTTTACTGACGACGGCCTCCAGCGAGCCACTGTCCCGCTCTCGCTTTATGTCAAAACAGCCGTGGTCCCTAGGAAAAAGAAGCCGCCCTGCAGGTTTCTGAGACTGTCTCCTGCTCCGCCACTGCTGCCTGTCCTTGCCTGTGCCCCAGGCTGCGCCCCCCATGGAGGAGCCTGTCCTTGCTTGCGCCCCAGGCCGCGCCCCCCACGCGGGAGACCCGCTCTCACCTGGCCCTCCCCTGGGCTTCCGGGAAGGTGTGTCTCAGAGGACAGGAGGGCCTGCAGCTCTCCGGCTCGGGGGGCAGGGGCTGGTACTTCTTTGGAAGGGTGACGGGAGGCCTGCGGAGAGTCAGAGGCTGGTCACAGGGGACCCCCCAGCTTCGGGTCGGAGGTGCCAGCTTGGGCGGCTCCCTGCCCACCAGGCGGGGAGTGGCCGGAAAGTCACACTTGTGCTTAATTGAGGTGACACCACATGGTAACGTTACAGAAGCCTCAGTGTGCACCCCGAGACCCCACTCACGTCTCCATGACACTAAGGTCACCCAGGGGTCCATTCCGTCCTTCCCTGTAGCGTCGCCTTCCCCCATTGCCCCTGCCCCTTCCTCTGGGAGCTGCTGCTTCATCTGAGAGTCCAAAGGTTCGTCCGTCTCGTCCAGCTGGTCTCCTGTTTGCTCTGTGTCCCGCACTGGGTGGGCCGCGCCGCCGGCGGCGGCCTCCAGCCCGCGCTTCCCACAGGGCCACGCGAAGGGTCACTCCACAGGAGCCTCGGGCGCCTCACCTGCGTGCGTTTGGGGCGGGTCCGCGGCCTTTCATTTTGCTCCCAAGTTTTCCTGATTGACCATTGACCCCCGTGTTTGTGAAGCCATAACTGGGGGAGCAGGCTGCTTACCCCCTTGGGCCTGTGCTCCCCGCACCCGCCCCAGGTCGGCCTGCACCTCTCCCGCTGACCCCAACCACACTGTTTCAGGGCCAGAGTCACTGTCCAGTTCCGCCCGCGCTGTCCCGCGCAGCCTCTCACCGGGGAGGGGGTAAAGGCGTCTGCAAGGTGGAGAGAGTCAGGAGTTAGAGGTTCTGCTCTGCGCCACTGCTTTTGATTTACAACTAAAAACTACAGATCCGACCCAGCCTCCAGCCCCTGCGCTTCCTCAGCTGCTCGCAGCGCGGTTCCGGCCTCTTACCTTGCTTCCCTTTGTGGGTGCGTCCCCTGAAACAGAAGAGGGAGCCCAGGTAAGTTATGGGGAGCTGGCCAGCTGCTGCGCCACAGGCCCAGAGGGAAACTGTTGGAATATCCCCTGATGATGGCCACGAGCAGCTGTGGAGAGCGCAGGCCCCACCCTGCTGACTCTCCAGCGATGGCGTCTCACTCGCCTGCCCTTGTGCCTCCCCCACCCTCACAGTAAATGGAGACAGGACAGGAGACAGCAAGCGGCAGACAGGGGTTGTGCCCCAGGCCCTCTCCTCCAGGCAGTTCCCCCTGCTCTTTACCCACATGTCCCCAGGGAAGCAGCAGCACCGGGGTTTCTGGATGTTAGGGTGCTGAAGACACAGATGCTCTGTGTTTTAGGGATGACAGAACTGAGGACGAACAGGAAGGGCAGTGGCTCGAGATCACCCAGCCCTGGGAGAGCCTGAAAGAGGCCTGGAAAGGACTTTGCTGATGCGGAGGCGGTTTCATCTCCACAGTTCAACCCGACAATCCCGGGCTGCTACTGGAGCTCAGAGGGGCAGCAGGCCCCGGGGGGCAGGTGGCACTGGGGGCCAGGGGGATCAGCAGGCACTGGAGGTCAGTGGGCACCGGGGAGAGGCTGCACTGGGGGTCAGCAGGCATGGCGGGTCAGAGGGCACTGGGGGTCAGCGGGCACGGGGGGCAGCAGCCTTGGGGTTGGCCCCTCCAGGGCCTTGTGCTTCTGTTTTGAGTTTTGATAAGAACTTGGCCTCACCCTGGTGCATCTTCTGGTCTTTTCCTACTGGTTGCTTCGCTATGGGGGATGTGAGAGGCAGGGATCTCCCCCGTGAGAGAGAAAACAACCTGACTTGTCAAATCATGCAGCTTTGATCAGAATTCAGATAAAATTCAACCGGTGTTTTGTTTTTAAGGGCGGAGGGAGCCAGGTTTAATAAAGTAAGACAACCCAGGTGTCTGGAATAATGGAAGAAGATAAGATTTGAAGCTGAGTTTCTTGAGTTTGAATCCTGGCACTGATGTTTCCTACTGGGGGAGACTAGCAGGTGCCTATTAAATATTTATGATAGAAATAAAATGAAGGGGTGACTTTTCTCAACTGGCAAAATAATTAAGGGTTGCTCATACTCTGCGTGAGATCCCGTGTGGAATACTCTAGCCGGCTCTGGTCCTGCTCGTGGCTTTTTACGGTTACTGCTTTTTTTTTTTTTTTTTTTAAAGATTTATTTATTGATGCATACAAGAACTGGGGTACCAGCCAGCGATACGGGGGGTGAGAGGATTCACCAGAGACAGAGCGGGGAATAGAACAGGCAGACGGACTGAAACACACTGCTGAGGGGAGCAGTGGACGAGACAGGAGAGGTCTGCCGCGCCCTGAGGGTATCTCCTTGGTCGGCTGGGAATCGAACCCGCGCTGCAGAGGCTGCGGACAGCTTCACAGTGCTGCGCTCAACTGCCTGCGCCATCGGGGAGGCCCCTACGATTACTGCTTTACTGTGGAACGAAACCGGGGAAAACGGCAGTTTGCCTTCCTGACCAAGGGCGCACACATTCCCAAATGCCTGGAGGGTTCCCCACCCACCCCTCAGGGGACCAGGCCTGGCTCCATCCTGAAATCCAACTAGGCTTCCCCCCCACCCCCCCGCCCCCCGCATGGGCGCGCTCGCCACCTGGCGGCCGCAGGTGTGACCAGCGCCTCCCCTGCCTGTCCTTACTGGCTCCTCAGGCTCACCCAACTTTGACTTCAGTGGCAACATCTATTGCTTCTTGGGAGGCAGAGCAGTGAAAGGGCTCAGGGTGGCAGAGGGACCTGATGGGGTGTGGCGCCACCTCTGCGGCTGCTAGCCTGAGGCACGAAGGGGCTGTCATTTCACAAGCAGAAAGGGTCTCCAGACCTGTCGCCTTGTGCAGGCGAGCGGTGTGCTGAGCTGCTTTCCAAGAGCCGGTGCTTACATTTCCAGAAACTCACTAGTGCAGTTCAACACAGCCATTAAAAAAAAAAAAGACATAAATGTGCACTTATGTCAAAAAAGAAGGTCTCAGTTGCTCCAACACATGACTCCTAATTATCCCACCGCGTGTTATCTGTGCTCTTGAAGTTCTTTACTCCTGTCGTATCTCTGGTGGAAATATTATGAGATGGTGTCTCTTTCCAAGTGCATGTTGAACGATCAAGTTGGCAGCTTGAAATCTGGAGTATTTATACCAAGGAAACCGGCTGAGCTACCAGTGGTTTTGATTGACTCTTTTGCTGCTTGTGTGAACTTAAAGTTAAAAAGACGATGTTAATAAAGCACATTAAGTAAAAGCATTCTGTGTAAGCTTGTGAAAGAGGAAAATGTAGGAAACACACCCCAGTATTTGGAAACTACTATCTGTCTCAGCTCAGAGGCTGTTCCTGTCATTTAATCTTAACTGGCCACGGAGATAAGAGTTTAGCAAAAATCAACATAAACATTGTGTGAAAATCAACTGGCTCTGGGAATCATTGATAAAGAACACTGACTATGGTTTGAAAGTTGTCTGCTACCCATCTGTTTATCAGTAAGTTTATAATAACCTTATATAAATGCATATTCAGACTTTTTTTTTTGCAGTGAAACATGAACATAATTTGTAAAAATAATAAAACATTTTTTGAAGACACCAGCAATGAATGACAGTTCCTGTTGCTTCACATCTTTGCCAGCATTTGGTGTTGTCAGTGCCCTGGATTTTGGTAATTTTGATAGGTATGTGGTGTTCTCTCATTGTGGTTTTAATTTGCATTTTTAGGTTTATCACAGCATTGAGGGGAAGGTGCAGACAGTTTGGTTAATTTCCTGAACCCACACCTGCATCGTAGCCCCATGATCAACATCACTCACCAGAGTAATAAACCAAAAGATGAACCTACATTGCACATCATAATCACCCAAAGTGTACAGTTTGCTTTAGGGTTCACTTTGGTGCTGTACAGCCTATGGATCTGGACAAATGTATAATGACATTTATCCATCACTCTAATCTCATACAGAATCTTTTCCCTGCTCTGCCTATTCATCTCTTCCCCAGCCCATAATCTTGACAACCACTGACATTTTTATTTTTATTGGCAACCACTGGGCTTCCGTTTCCATAGTGTGAAATGCCCACAATGAGATGCAGCTCCTTGGACAGTTAGGATTGAGTCAAGTAATACTTGTTTTTCTTTTCGTTGAAATCATGAAGTATGAAGTCTTTTTTCAGAGTAATTGGCTCCATAGACCTTGAAGATTCCTCCATCTCTTTTCATGGCTTGATGTTACATCTCTTTTTAGTGCTGAATAATATTCCATTGCCTGGATGTACCACAGTCTGTTTATCCATCCATTCACCTACTGAATGGCATCTTCCAAGTTTTGGCACATCAGCGCACAACTTCCTTTTTGGGATAGATATAAGTTTCCAATCCTCTCGGTAAACACCAAGGAGTGAGCACAGCTGCTGGATCAGAGGGGAAGAGCATGTTTGGTTTGTAAGAAATTGCCAAGCTGTCTTTCTAAGTGGCTGTGCCATTCTGGATCCCTCCCACAATAAGCAGAGGTGCTGTTCTTCATCGGCATCTGGTGTTGCCAGTGCTTTGCATTTTGGTTGTTCTAACAGGTGTGTGGGGGTAGCTCATCGTGCTTTTCATTAGCGTTTCCCTGATGATGCAGGATGCAGAGCATTTAATGCTCTAATGAGCTGAGTGACTTAGCACACACTTTGGCCTCTTTAGCGTTGGTACGTTCATCTGTGACTTAGAAGGCTAGAAGAAGACATGTAGGATCCAAGAATCTGTTTCTTGACAGAAGGGACAATGACAGTAGGAAAAATCCCACCCTGGGTCTTTTGAAATCATTCAAGTTGGGTTCTAGTCCCACCCCCATCACCAGCTGACACCTTGGAATGCCCTGGGCTTCTGTTTCTTTGGTGTGAAATGCCCACAATGGTCTGCAGCTCCTGGATAGTTAGGATTGAGTCAAGTAATACTTGTTTTTCTGCCAACCACCATTCAATTTGTGCTAAATGTATATAATGGCCTTTATCTATAAAGTCTGATTATAAAAAATCAACAGTGTCAGGGAGAGAACATCAGTCTAATGCTCTATAATTAGGGAAATGGATTCTGGACTGACTGGGTAAAATTTGGCCTCAATTACGTATTTATTATGTCTAAGAGTTTTATAGGAGATGAAAGTGAACCATTAGGCTCCCCAGTCCTGATGGTTAATTATAGAGAAGCCCAAAGAAGCAGCTTAGGATCGAAGAGGCTGATGCATATTTGACAAGGACTGTTTGAGAAATCTGCCCAAGTTTGTGGAAACCTTCAGGAATTAATTCCAGCGATAAATTGCCGAAACCATTCTTGGGAGTGGGAGTGGATTAAGTCCAGCCAAGCCAAGATGATGGCAGGGATTGTCTGCTTTAAGAGCTTCTCAAATGAGGTCAGAAAGTGTGATTTTTCTATCACTGGCATTTGAGCGTTGGGTTCAGTAGCTGTGTGCGTGGGGTCGTGAGAGATGAGGGAGGCGAAGAGGAGGCATCTTTCCCAGGCAAGCCTGGGGGATGGCTTTCCTGTGGCCCAGCTGTCTCTGGCAGTGGAGGGAGGGTGGACAAGCAGGTAGGTCCAAGCAAAGAAGAGGCCACGAGGTGTGCTGGGCTGGGAGTGACTGGATTTGTATGCAGGAAGCCTGTCCACAGACTCACAAAATGCTGGGGACATCCCAAGAAAAGAGAATCACGCACAGGTCCCTGAGCGCCAGAAGCCAGAAGCACGAGCTCGGTTGAGAGAAGCAAAGCGGAATTCTATGGGATGCCCTCAGAAGACTTTCCTGCTAGCTTGCTCTTAGACAAATTTAGATGCTAAAGCAATTCTACAGATGGGATCTGAAGGCCGGGGTAGGGAATAGAATTTGCCTAAGTTTAGGAACAGAGACAGCCACGAGGCCAGAAGCAGCCCAGGCTTCTGACTTGGGCCTCCGTAGACCCGCCTCCTTGGGAGTGCCGAGGCCCAGCCTGCCCCTAGGTGGCCCAGCCTGGCGGTGCTGATCTAATGTGCCATGAGGATGGGTTACAGCGTAGAGTGCACTTGGCAGACACCTACTAGGTGCCCGCCATGGGGCTGGGAGTTTGCTGCAGGGAAGACCATGTTGAATAAGCTGTGGTCTCCGTGATGGAGGAGTCCATCTACAAGAGCTGTTTGGTAGGTGAAGCACCAAACTGTAGAGAGCATGAGGGGGTTTCACCCAGAGAGAGAGAGCTGAGGGACAGAAGGACGGGGGTGGTGAAGGGAGGACAGAGTCCAGAGTGTCCCCACGTGCCAGGCGCCCAGCTCTGGGGGCCCAGCCCCTCAGGGGCCACTCCCTTCTCTCCATCTTCTAGATTGGAAGGTTGCTTAGAACTTACAGGACCCATGGGGCCCTCAGGGCTGAAGTCTGCTGGGTGGGACCCCACTCCTCGACCCCTCAGGCACCAGAATCTCAACCGAGCTCACTGTGGTCGGGCGGGATCTGAGCAGCGGAACTTCCTGTGGCTCCTTTTTCTATCTGTGGCTCCTTTATACTCGTCTGTGGACAGTGTCTGCTGCACCAGCAGTTACAAGGCCCTTCCTTTACCCCGGGTCTTTGTCTTTCCCAGTGTGGGGGTGTCAGACAACAAATTTGTGGTCCCACCGGTGAGGGACGGAAGTGAAGGTTGCAGCCTGACCTATGACCTGAACATTGGGTCAATGTCTCTTTCTTTGGGGTGACGCAGTGCCAGCAGGCACAGGGCGGGGCCACTATCTACTCAGGCAGATGGATAAGGAGCGCCCGGAGCCCTTGGTTGATTTTTCAGGCTTTGATGCTCTCAGGACCCAGGCGCCCAGGTAGCCAGGCAGGGAGGCTGGCATATGGGGAGGCAAAGGTGGGCTGGGAAGCAGGCAGGCAACTGAGCCTCCCAGCCCTCCACAAATCTCTGTGCTGTCTCTGGGGTTCTCTCGCTAGTGTTGAAGGGTGGTCGCCTCTGTCATCACCTGGCTGGTCCTCACGTAGCCCTCGTCTGTCTCTGAGTGATGCCGTCCTTATGGCCCTGCCGCTAGGCCCGGGTGTGCCCACTCACAGGCGCCCACACCCACAAGCAGGTGTCCAGCATCTCCCTCCCGCATTAATACTACTGAGGCCGCAGGTGATAGCCTCAGAGGCTAGTGGGAAGCCCGATTAAGTCATTTACGCCACAGATGGGTTGTGGCTGAAATAAATTTAAACCTAACACGGCAGGAGAATAACCTGGGGTGCTGGGCGAGAAGATGCTGATGACCCCATTTTTGCGTTGCCGTGTCAGGCAGCCAGGGGGCAGTGTTGGCCACCGTTTCACTCCTAAGCACTAAAGCTCGCAGTTGGGATGAGCGGCTGAGGGATTTAGGAGCAGGAAGGGAAGCTGGTGGAATGGTTTAGACAGAAGCAAAAACAGTAAAGCCCAGAAAAGTGCCAGAGCGGGCGAAACACTGAACTCCGAGTTTGGCTCTGATTACCAGCTGGATGGCCCCAGCAAGCCATGCCTCTTGCTCGGCTTCCTTGCATAAAAGAGGTCAACCAGATTAGCTCTAATCTCAGCTCTGACTCTAATTTCTTTGGCATCTAAATTCACATAAAAGCAAACCAGCAGAAAGGTCTTTTGGAAAGAAAGACAAAAAGGAATTCCACTTTGCCTCTTTCAACGAAGCTCGTGTTTCTGGTTAGACCTGCTCAGCCTCCCGTGCATAATTTTCTTTCTTTTCCTGGATGGCTTATTGTATTTCTTTATAAGTTCATCCTAGAATATGGCATGCCTGTCACCTCAAAGGAAACTGGCTTAGAGTCTGTGCTTGGTTCACATCTAAGGTAGAAGGAAAATCATCTTAGCTTCTTTTATTCTTGACACTAAAAAGCTAAGCACACTATATTTGAACGTTCCATCTATCCTCATCTAAAAAGAAGCCAGTTTCTTCCAGATCTGTGGTTAATGCTGACGCTCAGGTCAAGCAGCTTAAGCGATCTAACTTTTTTCCTCCAAACTTTTACTCATTTTTTAGGAATGGAAAGAAGTGAAACTTTGCGGGAGAAAAGTTCTTGAAATCTGATGTTTTCCAGATAATGTCAGAATATTATTGCAAGAAAAATGACAGGAAATATACATTAACATAAATCTATAACTGCTCAACTTGATGAAAAATATCACCATAAAATTCTGCCATTACTGAATCACCCGATATGTTTTTCTATGACATTTTGTGAGAATGAATAAATTATCTGAGAATGTTTGCATCAAAAGTACAGAATTTTATAATAAACACATAAATCATTCAAGCATTTTCCAGAAAGATGCCTGATCCTAAAAATGGGGGCATTCATATTAATCTCCCCCTTGCAGCTTTCTTCTCTGTAGAGCACCTTAGAGCTCTGAGTGGTAAGGGAGAACCATCAATTAAGGGAGAAAAGGACTCTTATTGAAGGAGATTCTCACACCACCTCACCCCATTCATTACAAGCATCCACAGCTGTGAGATTTGCTTTCACTGAGGACCTCACTATAGTTATGAGCTTATTTTAAAAAAAGCTCTTTTTTTGTACCCCAAATCAGCCAATAGCCCCATTAAAATCGACAGCACCAACTCAACTCTGATATCTATGTCCTTTGTTGCTTTCTCTGTGAAACTGGCTTGCTTTTTGTTATAGACAATTAATATCACATAAAGAAGCATGAGCCCCTTTTTGCTTAGACTACCAGGAAGCTCAGAGAGAACAGTTAAATTGTAATAGAATGTGGTGTCACATGCAGAGGACCTGAATTTTACCTCTTAGTCACATAGTCTGTAGAGATCTTTCCCTACGATTTCTTTTCCTTCTGTTATGATGGGACTTTTTTTTGTTAATTACGCCAATATCTTTGTGAGCTGAGGCAAAATGTAGATGACTCTAGGATGGATAATTATGATATTGTGATTTATAATAGCGTATTTCATCTTTGCCCCTGTTCCTGGCACAGAGCTCCTACCCTGGGGATCTCCTAAGCAGTGACAGCTGTAAAGGTATGTTGTTATGATCATGGGGCACCTGTGGCCACGCCTAAGCCTGGGGGCTGGGTGCCAGTGGAGACACCCAGGTGGTGTGAGGTTAGAACTCTAAGTCCTGCCCCCCGACCACAGAAGAGGGACTTGAGAATAAGTCCCCACACTGAGGGCCAATACAATTAACCAAGCCTATGTATTGAAGCCCCTGTGACTCCCCAAAATGGGTCAGAGGGTTTCTGGTTGATGAACAGGGGGCGATTCGGGGAGAGGGGTTCATCTGGACAGCGCAGGGGAGCTCCCAGCTTCCCCCCCACCACCTTGCTTCTGGCTGCTCCTGAGCTCTGTCCCTTTCTAATAAGGCGGCGTCGCTAGTGTGAAGAGCTTCTCTGTGGGTCGTTCTAGCAAATGGATCAAACTAAGGACCTGGAGCCTCCAGCCCCCTTTGCTTTGGGTCTAGGGTGGTGGCGTGCCACCCATGTACCCCTCTCCCCATGCCATCCCCTGTTCCTTCCCAGCACACACACACCCCTAAGTGAATTGCTCACTTGTAAATAACCTTCCTTAAACGATCCCGATGTGGGTGTCCTAGCTGTGCCCGGCAGGACCCTAACCGCGACGCTTTCCCATCGAATGACAATTAGTACTAGACCTCAGACCACAGCCCCAGACACGCAACGCTGCCCCGTCAAGCTGACAGGCCTCAGTTAATGGGAAACATAAATCGAGGATTGTCCTTTCTTCCGAAGGGACGTTGGAAGAAAGAAAAGAGGCCGCGGTGGATGCGGCCCAATTAAATTTCTCGGGCTGTCCTCAATTTGTGCTCCCAGCTCTTCTGAAATTGATTATTTCCTCTCAGCCTCCTCCCTGTATCTTCAACTCAAATTGAGTTGCTTTGCCTAAAGCTTTAAAATCTGTTTTTATATTAATTAATCAACATTTTAAAATTGGATTTCTACCTTATTGTGATTTTACTAGGGTACACTTTGAGAAACAACACAGCCATATATTTTATGCAATCCATACGTTTTGAAACAATTCCTTTCTGAAACGGCCCGACACCCAATATGAGTTTTCACGATCAATGTTCTCATCAATAAGGTAAGGTGATTAAAAAGGCATAAGATGTGTGAGCTGCTTTCTAAAATTATTTCATAAAGGATAATTCAATAGGCCACCTTGTTTAAGAAAATCCATGACCACATAGAAGCACATGAGCATCCAGGTAGCAGAGGAATAAACTGATATTTCAAATGTTGTGAGTCGGCTTTACCTTTGACGTGGTGGCTCCTGAGGTCCTGGGAATTGGGCTTGTCCACCTGCAGGAGACAGCACATGGCGTTAGCTCCTGGCCGTGACCATGGCCCCTAGATGTCTCGCCACGCCTTGAGGCTGGGTTCCGCAGGAGGGTGTGATGGAGCTACAGAGATCATGGGACACTAACGTTTGAAGAAAGGAGAGGCAGGCGTGAACGAGGCTGGGGGCCCCTTGCTGAGCAAATACCAACAGGATATGCGCCAGCATGTTGGGGCTGCTCATCCTGTAGCCCTGGGGCGGCTCATGTGTATCTCATGCATTTCTGCATTGAGAAAATGGAACATTAGCACAATTTTCTTTGAACTAAAATTCTATAATGTGTTTGGAGCCTTTGCATTTAGAAAACATTTTCATCAGGTGAACTTTGCGATCTCCAAGCAGCCCTTTCGAGTGGGTGTGGTGGGGATTTTTGCTTTTGTTTTGTAACCGAGTCTCCAAAGAGGCTCAGGGAGGTTGCTCAGTCTCCTTAGCACCCCCCAGCCAGCGGGTGGCCACGTCGAGCTCAGAATTTAGAGTTTAGGCCAGACTATAGTATCAAAGGTTTGCGTTTGAGTCTGCTCCAAAGATGGACGAAGCGCTTGGGTAGAGGACGAGAAGCCTCTGCCTGTCGTTGGGCTCCCAGCAAGTCCCCAAAGCATTCATTCTTCTGGGTGCTTATTCCATTGACTGAGACCCCGCCAGCCATGGAGTCCACCCCCACCTCACTGGACTTGACCTGCTCATGACCGAGGACACGTGTCCAGCGGAGACGGGAGGCTGCTGGGGGCCGGCAGGGGCCTCGCGCGTTTGGTTCACACAGTCAAGTGTTTACTCACATCTTCCAGCCTCATCTGACTGATCCAGGCCTGTCTCTCCATGGGGATAGAGGTCGTGCCGTCACGGGGAAGGGACCTGTCCGTCACCCCCCTGAAACAGCGAGTATCTGTGAAAAGAGAGATGTTTAAAGTCACCTCCAAGGCAGACTCATCACGTCACAATTGATAAAATATTTGTGTGTCCACAGACTCATTGCATCGTCACAACGGAGCCGAGGCAGCGCTTCTCCTGCTCACAGGCGAGCCTGGAGGACAGGAGTCACCCCTTGGTCCACACACGCCTTGCTGCCAGAGTCTGGGCTTGAACATCCTTCGTCGGCTCAGCCACCTCATCCCGCACTCGGCTATGTCCTCCCTTGGAAAGCTTCGGAGACCCCTCCCGGCCTGTGGGGTCAGCTGCAAGATGAGTCACCGAGCTGCTGGCTCCCCTGTCTTTCCCGGCTCCCCCGTCACTCTGCTCCCCCTCTGTGCCCGCTGTCTTCAACTGTCCCTGCAGCCCACCCCTGCCTGTCCTCTCTCTGCCGGGCTCACCTGCAGCCCCACCCTGCCTGTCCTTGCTCTGCCGGGCTCACTGGCGGGTCCCAAGGCTCCAGAAGAGCAGGTGCTGCAATAGCCCAGGGCCCCAGAGCTGACTGCAGGCCCCCAGGCGCGTGTCTCTCTTCACAGGGCGAGAAAACCAGGATTGCCCCAGTCACACCAGCAGAAAGCCAGGAGATGGGATTTTTAACCTGGTTGAGTCCAGAACCCTCGCACTTTGATGACCAGGCGTGTGGCCGCGTGGACGGCATTCTGGATTCCAGGTGACCCCAGCCGTACCTGCGTATTCCGGTTCCTTGGCGGGCCTGGCAGGGAAGAGCCTCACGGCTCGCCACCTCTCTGCTCTGAGGAGTTTGGGGTCCTCGTAGTCGTCATCACTGTAGCTTTTTGCTCCATCTGGGGCAGCAGCAAAGTTCCTTTCCTAACAGGAGGGAAGTGCAGTGAGTCCCGGGGCCGGAGAAGCGGACAGAGGCCCCGCAGGGCAGGGGAGGTGCGACTCGTACTCCCGCTGCAGGGTTAACCATTGAAGAGCTCGGTGGCTGGGGCAGTTCCATCCACGTGGCAGGCAGGATTCTAAAGAAGCCCCCACTATTCTCATCCCAGCCTGGTCAATCAAAGGATGATTTGGGCACCGCCGTGAGGGGAGATGGAGGATGCAGTGACAAATGCTACTCGGCTGTCGTGAAGACAGGGAGGTTGTCCTGGATGGCCAGGCCCGGCCCAGGGCCATTGCACGAGCTCTACAAAATCGGTTAGAGTGACTCTGGCGGCCTGACATGTCTTAAACACCATTTACATACTGTCCTGGCAGCCGCCAGACCCCCTCAGCCTCGTTGGGAGAGTCTCAGACCCGCTGGAAGGACTGGGGTTGGGGCCAGAGCCCACGGCTCTCCGTCGCTGTGATAGCACACGCGGGGCAGGGAAACAGGGGTGCTGGGAGGACTGGCCTCCCCCCGGGCCCGAGAGAACCTGGACCAGCCCCCGCAGATTGAACAGACCAGCCCCAGCACCTAATAGAAATGTCTTGGTTTATTTCTTTCCAGAAAAGACGGTGTTAAGTATAATGACTTACGCCTGTTGATCTGTGAACTGATCTATTATCTCTGTGCTGTCAGTCTCCGGGGTTCTTAACTAAAACCCAGTATTCTCTGCCAAAAAGCTCAACATTAAGAGAAGATGGTGTGATTGATTGACTGACTGACTGATCGATTGATTGCGTGTCCTGCCGGGAGCACACAGGGCTTGCTTAGATTCCTCCCCCTGTTCTGTGGAGAAATCACCAACATGCTCTGGAGTCCCGGGAGCACAGCACCGCGCTTCAGCACTGTGTTGTGAGATGATGCCCGCAATAGGTCCAGCCAACACCCTTCACCTCATCAGATACCACAAAGAGAAAAGGGAAAAGACAGATCGTGTCCCCTTGTTATGAGAACCCCCTGCATCCACCCTCGGCCACCCCCAGCTCATCACGCAGCAGCGCCAACGAGTCTCATGGGCGCTCCACACCGATGGTGGCTTGTCTTTACCACGGCGAGCTCATGCCTGTCTGCCTTCCTGCAGCTCCCTCTCTCAGCACCCACCTCTGCCAGCCACGCATGTTAACCACACATCTGAGCTCTTCTATGAGGTTTTGTATTTTTCAGATCCAACCTATTAGTGAGAATTAGTGTTTGCCTTTATTTGCCTGAATTATTTACCTAGTATACTGCCTTTGAGATATATCCATGGAGTGCAAAATAATTAGACTCTTAAGTCTTTCAAACAGTGAGGAACCAATGATAGATTCTATTTGTCTATCTGTCCATCCACCCATCCATCCATCCACCCACCTATTTATCTATCATCCATCCATCCCCCATGTCTATCCAGCTATCCACCCATCATCTACAGATATGTTAGTTAAAACTATTTAGATTATATATACATTTAACAGTAAAATTATTTATAATATTAGATACTTGAGTTCATGTTATACATTTTAATCATCAAAAGTTTTGGTAAATATTACTAATGACTTCATAATAGGATTATATCATAATATGTTCAACTATTTTTCTGCTATTGAATATTTAGCATGATTCCAGTGTGTTGCCATTTAAAATATAATGTTATAAAATATAAATGAGTGTGTTTAAATATTAATCCAAATTTTAGGTTAGCTTCTTAAGTTCCCAACCATAGAATTATTGGGTCACGGAAAATGGACATTTTTCTAGTTAATGTTAATATAGTTAGTTAATATCATGAAATTGCTTTTCAGAAAGTTTGTATCAATTAACATTTCACCATGAGTGTTAGGAGGTGTTTTTCTTGTCACACGCTTGCCAGCACCATGCACTGATATTTTCACCTTATTCAGTCTTCACAGGGCCTGGGAAAATTAATTTTTGTCTCCATTTTACAGCTGAAGAATTGGAATACAGTTTTATAACCAAGAAATGCAGTTTCCTTCCAGGAAATTGTGTCATCCGAAAGTTTGTTTTCCTTTAATTCAACAGGTCCTTGAAAAAAAACCACTTACTTTGTTAAAAATCAAAGACCAAAAAATAAGTAAAGGGGGTGACTGACTTACGCAATCCAGAAGAGGCTCCTTAATAGCCTGGTACTGACCTGCAACAAAAACAGGCCAAACGTTATTGCAAAATGCCGAGAAGACTGGGCCCTTGTTTCTCTCTACAAACCTGGTGCTCCTTGCGACTAATTTGTCTTGACTGCAATTGCTCAAAGCCAAGTGTCTATTTCCAGTTCCTCCTTCTAGCGACGGCTCTTGCAAAACGGGGCCATTGGAACAGAAGGGGAGGCAGTGGGATCCGCGCTGAGCAGCTTTGCTCTCTCTCTGGCAGGTTAACGTGCTCCCCCCAAGAGCAGCCAGCGTAGAACACCTCCAACATCAGCATCACCCGAAGTTGAGACTCACATCGCAGCCGGCGGGGAGGGCGGTCTCCTGGTTCTCCTCCCCACGACACACACCTCCATTTGCAATGACCTGTCCACTCATCTGTCTCCTTAAAAGACTAAGTGTTTTCAGGCAGGGTTAGCCACATCCACTCAACTCGCCCCTGCCAGTCAACTACCCACGTCCAGGGGCTCGCACCGACCACGTACCTTCCGGTAGGTATGTGGTGAGTGAACATTGTCCACTCGAGGTTTCTCAGCACTCAGCATCCTCACCAGGACTGTGTCTTAAAATTGTCTGACAGTCACCAGGTACATTCTGAATCTACATTTTAAATTTACCTTCTGTTATGCAAAACCACGAAAGGGCCGCTCAGAGGACCTGCAGGTGTATTGCTTCTTCGTGGCTTTAATTTTCCTAAATTATGTCAGTGGCATTCTCAGTCTACACGGAAGAACATCACAGGCAAAATTTTTTCCTTATCATTATCTCTTTATTAGCACACATGAGAACTTTCTAGCAGATTTCAGGACCAGAGCTGTGTGCTTCTTAACAATCTGATTTACTAGAAAACACCAGTCCCCTACGACATCATCTTTCCCTCCTTTGGCGGCTGGAGATCTCCGGGCAGATTTCTGACTGTGCGCAGTTAGCGTGAGCGCCCCCGCGGGCCGGGCTTTTCTCAGTCGGCTCTGGCTTTGTTATTTTCTTAAACTTTCATCCTTTTACCCTGAATTCTCTTGCCATACCAAAACATGAAATGAATCACCGCAAGCGTGTGTCAGCATGCCCAAGTCCTTTGCGGGGTGATATGCAAATGGGTGGGAGTTTGGCTCAGTGGAGACCACTCTCTGGAATTTGCTAGCACCAGTGCACAGCAAGTGCTCACCAGCCAAAGCCACCTCTTTGAGATAATGAGCTCGGGGCCGCAGCAGCCTACCCGTGCCTGCTGCCAGTGCCAGCCCACCCTGGGCACCAGTGGCACCTTCCTGATCCTGCCCCACCTCACCCCTACTGAGATCTCTGGCTAGAAACCCCCAGGCTTTCCAGGGTAGCAAGTTGTACCCTCCTGTGAGTTGAGTCAAATTAATAAGGTCACCCCTTAAAGACCAGCTGGCTTGGAGGGGACAAATGAGCATTTTTGGGGATCCATTATGATCTTCATGATCTAGCAAAGCAGCTAATTCACGGTCGGATTCAGGGTTCAACATAATTCCATTTGGGGACAGTGCCCCTGTGAATACGACCTTCCACCCACCCCATGGGTCTCTTCCTCCGCCAGAGGTCAGCGCGGCAGCCGGAGAAGCCAGCTTCCCAATATGCTTCCTGCCACCGCTGGGTCCTCGAGAGCGTTGAGTCCACCTGGAGCTTCCGCTCCCTCCCCAGTTTCTTTTCCAAATGCTCCATGGATCCTTCAGATGCTCCGGGGTGCCGGGACCTCACTGGCGGCGGGAGGCTCAGTTCTCACACTCAAGGGCACGTGCATAAAGCAGCGGCAGCGGCTGCCGGCTGAGCCCGGGCGCGGCTCCTCTTTAGGGACAGAACAGTGTTCTGTCTCCGTCTCCCACAATGCCTGTGTGTGCTGTTAACACACGCAGAACTTGGGCCATGTCAGAAGGATAGTGTAAAACTGTAAGTCAAACCGGCGCGAACACCGAAAACAAAGCAACACATAAAAAACTGTAAATCGGGTCATGCCACTCGTGGCCCACGTCACGCAGTGTAGCTTCCCAGCTTGGCCTCAGCCCCGCACCTGCTCTCCTCTCTCCCCAATGTCCCCCTCACCTCTGTGCTCCGGCCACCCCAACCTCCTGCTACCCCAGCAATGTTGTCCTCAGCCCGGAACCTTCTGCCCAAGTTCTGTCCACGCCGGGTCCTTTCATCCACCAGATGGTCACTTCCCTGGGGCACTGCCCTGACCCCCAGCTCAGCTGAAAAGCAAAGAGCCCTCTCCTGCCCTGGCCCTGTGCCCATCAAGTGCCCGGCGTGCCCGGCATGGCAGGGAGAATGCTGAGTGCTTGCTGCCACCCCTCATCCTGGGGGCGCCCAGCTGGAGAGCAGCTCCCGGCGCTCACACTGGCGCCCTTGGCCTCCAGGCTTTGTGGCTGCTGGACCAGGCGGGCTTTCCGGACCCTCAGTGCTCTCCCTCTTGTCTCAGTGGTTGGCCAGAGACAGGACCCCCCAAAGCCACCAGAGATGATGGAAACCACTGGGTCAAAGGGTGAATCTGAATGTCTAGTGAAAGACCTTCAACCCCAGGATTGTGACATGAACAAGGGCTCAGCCGTCGCCTCGCCACGCTCCTCCCCCGTGTATCCATGGCAGATATGGGCCCTCCCTGGACAGCAGGCCCTGTTTGGGTTCTCAGTAGCAGGTGGGCGCAAAGCCAGCTGATAAACAGGGCCCTGGTTGTGGACTGCGGTGCCGTCCGTCGAGGGCTCGGGCGCCCTGGGGAACCGGCGCGGGGTTAGCCTGCACAGGCGCTGGCCACAGTGTGGGCACCAGGACAAGCGCCCAGAGCGGGGCCAGCGCCAGCCCGTGCAGGGGGCATGGTCTCCCTCGGCGACTGACCCCGTTTTCACGTGGCCCCCCCGGGAGTGGCTGGTGCTGCATCTGCAGAGGGCCGTCCAGCCGCTGGAGTCAGCGCCCTGGCGGGGGACCCGTCTGCATGCCCCTCGAGCAAACATCTTTTTACAGAAACCAACATTCCCACCAAAGTTGCTTTTGAGGTCACTTTGAGGCTCTCCATTACGCAGCGGAACCTCTGATCAGGGACAAGAATGGAACAAACAGGCCCCAAATGGATGCCTTTGGGCTGACCCCCTCCAGACGTCATACCTATCACGGTGTCAACCTGTCCCCCAAAGTCATCCCAAGCCAGTCACGGAATTCATCCAGGCTGCTGCTAAATCACCAGGCTGCGCGATTCCTGCAATGGTCAGTGGGGGGCACTGCCTGCTCACACATGCTATACCTGCCCTTCCTCTTTCAAGTCCTAAAGTCCTTATTAATTTTTCTTTTTAAGTGGGCAAAAAATCAACCTTCAAGAACAGAACCTTAGAAAACTGAAAAACAAAACAAAACAAGTGTTTCCGGACAAAATGAACTTTCCTGTCTGTTTAATTGAAACAGACACTATGTATCTTCATCAGGATTTTCATTGTGCTCAGTGATTTCAGCCAGAAGGAGCCACATTCTAAGTAGGATCGTCTCCAGTTTAGTTCTCCGTTGAGTGGAAGGAGGAACACCCTGAGTTATTTTGTGGGAACGCGTGTCACCGACCTCTGGATGTCGCCCTCCCAGGAGGCGCTGGTGCCGGCAGCCTCCAAGTCCGAGTATGTGTCTGTCTTTTTCAGGCTGGAGTATTTTTTTAATAGATTGTTTTTTGCATACAAAAATGCATGTATTACAGAAAAAATATATGATACAAAGAAGAGAAAAAAATCATCCCAATGTTCCTGTGCTGAGACACTCACTATAAAAAACTGATTATAACTAAGTCACACATGATAGGGTGTATATATGGGATCACACTGTATGCCCACTATTTTATTTTCACATATATATATATATATATATTTAACTTCTATTTATTTTTGTGTAGAAGAAGAACTGGGGTGCAGGCCAGAAGTGTAGGGAGTGAGAGGATTCACCAGAGACAGAGTGGGAAGCAGAACAGGCAGATCCACTGAAACACACTGCTGAGGGGAGCAGCAGGTGAGACAGGAGGGGTCTGCTTTGCCATGTGGGTCAGCAACCTGGCCACAACCTGGACAGCGATAGTGCTGAGACTTAACCCCCAGGCCCCTGCCTGCTATTTTCTTGCCTGCTTTTTCACATAATAGCATGATATAACCTACACATATAACATCATCGTTTTTGCTGGCTGCATGGAATTCCCTCTCACAGCTGCCCCATCATATTTTCAACTAGTCCTGTGTTAGAAAATTGCCCACGCCTTAGACGTGTCGAGGAACAGCATGAACAGCGCTGCGATGGGTGGTCTCTTAGGTAAAGCATCAGTGCGTCCTCAGCTGCATCCACTCTGTTCCATTCGAATAGACACAGCAGAGGCTCTGAAGCAGGGCTTAGGTGGGTGCTGTGCTGCCCGCTATCTTTGGCAGGGTGTAGATTCCAGGGACGGGCAGGCCTGGGCAGTTTTATCTCAATCGATGTTTTTGGAATTCTGATGTGATCTCTTTTCCCTGCTTGTGTGTCTAGACACACATGGAACACCCCCAGATCAGCTTCTCTCTTCCCCAGGACGGTGAAGGGCAAGGTGGGAGGCGAGGGCTGCAGGAGCGTGACCAACGGTTCCCAGCACATTGGTTTTCAGGCCCCCTCCCCATGGAATCCTCTGAGGCCCCCCAGCTCTCTAAGCAGATTGTGGGAAGGGGTGACGCTGGTGGACAGGCTGAGGAGGGTTTAATTGAGACCAAAGTTTCCAGAGCAATTTGGAGGCATCGACCTTGAGAGAGTGCAGCCTTTGCCAGGACCTGGGGGGAAGCTTAATAAAAGCATCCTCTGCAGGAGGATTGGAGCTGGTGCTCGCCGCTGACTGAGGTGCGCTCTTGGACTTTATTTGGCTTTTCCCTCTTTTCCTCACAGCTCTGGGGGCTGCCGAGCGCTGGCTCTAGGCTGCAGGGGCGCTGGGATGACCTTTGGCATCCGTTTGCTGATGACACCCCGCCTGTGGTCTTGCATCTTCCTCTTATCTCTGCTCTGTTTTTCCTGTCTCACTCCCGTCATCGTTCTTAGCCACCAGCTTTCTGAGGACTTTCCGAAAGAACAATGTTGCAGGATGAACCGCACACGCTTCCGTGGCCTCCTCACGAGTGTCCAGCACCAGGAGCCGGGCTCTGAACGGATGCCAGGGCACCGTGAAGTGTGGCTTCTGGCGCGTTTACCCGCGCAGACACTCACGGGACCCCAATACCGCCCAGCCGGCCAGCATTCGCCGCCACTGGCAGACCCACGCACGTTTCACAGAAGCAGGGGCGCCCCCGAGGGAGCTGCACCATATCCCAGACGTGGTGAATAAAGGGCGAGCCAGGGTTCCCCTCTGCCTGCCAGAGGGACCCCCAAGCTCGTGGGAATCGCAGACCAGGCTGCAGCTGGGAGCAGCGGGAGGACAAGACCCTGCTACTCTGCAGAACAGGCTGAAGGCCCTACCAGAGGGGAAGGTACAGGGATGGAGAGAAAATCGAACAGACCCGCTGACGTTCCCGCGCGCGGGGGCCGAGCCCGACTCACCTGCGGGACTGCTGATGTGAGGCCACGACCTAGGGAGCAGAGACAAGGGGTGAGTGTCAGCGGCCCGCAGCCCCGGCCCCGCAGTGTGAGGTGGCCATGGGCTGTTCGGGGTCAACCCACTGAATGATTTTTTCCTTTTTTTGTTAGGTGACACCCATGCCGACATCCAGCAAGCCTCAGGCGTGCCTGTTGTCAGTCATCTCCTGTACCCACCCCTCGAGAGGGGCGGTTTCTTTATGTTCATGTTGTTTTGACCTGAAATGGCACATCATTTCGGGGAACATGGAAAACAGCAGAATGCAGGTGGAGGGAGACAGCCGTCACCCCCACAGCGAGTATTTTGGAGACCTGCCTGCGCATCTACACAGAGTGTATGCGGTCGTTGGCCGGGTTTAAATCCCCAGAAATATCACAGCAGCAGCGGAGGATGCACAGGCGCTTGGGGTCACATACACGTTGTACTTTTTTTATTTTTTTTTTTAAGATTTATTTATGCATGCAAGAACTGGAGTACAGGCCAGAGGTGTGGGGGTGAGAGGATCCACCAGAGACAGAGTGGGGAGCAGAGCAGGCAGAGCTACCGAAATACACTGCTGAGGGGAGCAGCGGGGAGACAGGAGAGGTCTGCTGTGCCATGTGGGTAGCTCCCTGGCCGGGGATCGAACTAGAGCTGCAGAGGCTGCTGATAGCTTCACAGTGCTGTGTTTACCCCCTTGCACCACCAGGGAGGCCCACACACATTGTACTTCAACTATCACCCCCCAACATGGTGCTTAGCAGCTCCGGGGGTTTGGGAGAGGCACTTGGGTCCAGGCTAGTTTTCCCTGTGCTGAGTAATGTCGAGATGCACGTGGTGTTTTCAGTCTAATCACTGAATATTTCCATAGAGAGACTCCATCGAGTTCCATGAAGGGGGCAAGTCATGTGCAGGTCCCCATCGTTGGGGTCTGCAGTGCTGTCATGTCTCGCCACAGAAGGGCCACGCCTGTGCCTCCCAGTGTGAAACCCACACTTCCAAACCTTTGTCTGCTGCCTCATCCTGTCTGTTTCATGTCGGACTAGACTGAATTGCTGACTTCCTTTCAAATGGCCCTGGGCCACTTGCATTTCCTCCCAGCTAAGTCTCCTGTCTACATCCATGTCCACGCTCCCCCAGGCAGGGCACAGCCCTGCCGCTCGCTCTTGGATTGTGTGTCTTGGGAACAGCTTTTCCCTAAGTTTTGGGCCGTGATCTGCAAAGCCCTGGGGCCATGGAAGCGCCAAGGCCGCTGCTGTGACAGCCGGCTTGTTTGTGCCTCCCGCGCGCGATGGTGCTGGCATCACGCCTCCCCTCCGAGGCCTCCACCTGCGTCACAGGTGCAATTACTGAGCATCGCAACACACGCCGGGTGTAAATATTTATGAGGCCTGCCTGGTGGCTGGGATACTGGGCACAGAAGAGTTAAGCCATGAGCTACTAGTAACCAGGAGACACAGCCCACGAGTCCAGCTTCCAGCTCACCCCGTGGTCCTCTGCTTCTCCATTTTAATCCTCATAATGACCCTCTGGGGGAGCTATTCTTGTTCCAAATTATAGATCAGAACGTGGGGGCTTCAGAGGGGCCCACAACTCACCCATGCACACGGCGAGGGGAGACTCTGATACCAGCCTATCTGAACCCGTTCTTGGCCGCCTCCCTGGCCTTCCCCTAGAGGCAGGGGTGAGTCACCCCTGGAGGCGGTGCAGCTGGGGCTGGGAACCCTTGTGGATAGTCCTGGCAGCCGTTCAAGCCGCCCGAGATTCTGCAGAAGTCGACGGAGAATCAGCCGGTCAGCAGACCGTTTATCGGGGCCGAGACTCTCCTGCCTCTGCTCTGACTTCCTGGTTCTTTGATGATGACCTCACGGGCCTCCCCAGACTCTAACTCCTGAGGTGTGCGCTGGAAGGACAGCTCTCCTGACGGTGGGCAGTGGACTCCATGTCCTGTGGTCATCCTGCCCTCTATGGAGGCAGCCCCGGCCCGGCCTAGACAGGGGTTTAGCTGCGTAGTCCTCACCTCCAGGACGTCAGGGCGGAGGGCCCCTTTTAAAGCAGTGTCCATTCTTCTTCTGACCTTGACCTCACTTGCTTTGTAGAATCAGAGACTGAACGAGGAAAGTGCTGTGGAGGTGATGTCCAGCTTCTTTTTCCACGTTTCAGACACTAGGCGGCAGAACCGAGGCCTTCTGACACCCAAAGAGGCTGGAGCGAAGGGGCTAGTGTCTGCGGGCCTGACTTCCCTGGTGGGTGGGCTCCCCCACTTTGCAGATGCCACTAAGTTAAGAGACCTGCCTCGAGGGGCATGGTGGGCTGTGGATGGAGGTGGGCAGGGGACAGAGTGGGGTGTGTCCAGGACGATTCACCTGGAGCGGAGCAGCCCCCGGGGCTCTCGGCCTTTGGGAGAGAGTGTCTGAAAGTGGCCTCTTGATCCGCCCTGCCTCCTGGGGGCCCAAAGCAGAGGCGCTCATTCATATGTCATTTCCTCTGGGATTATGCACCCCAGGGCTCTCCCTGCGTCACTGCAAGGCCAAGTGAATTAGCAGAGGAAGCTCCAGCGAGGCCTGGAAGGTGTTATTCCAGCTGAGCCCGAGGAGGGGGAGAGGATGCTGGGAGGCTGCCTCCAGGGGCCTGGAAGCAGGGGTGGGGGAGGCATGCTGGACACCGGCAGCTGACACGCTCTCTGAAAAGGGTCCCATGTGGATGCCTTTGCAGCTTGATGGCCCAGGACGACGCGTGGAAGGTGCTGCCTGCAGGCTTTGCGGAGACAGAGATAGGCTGTGCGCGCCCAGGGGCCGAGCAAGGCCCTGGCGTTATCCAGCTCCTCTTGTGGGGCCAAGGTCATGGGCCCACTGGCCGGCTGCCTGTCCTGACAGCGTCAGTCCCTGCGGACAGCCAGGGCTGGGGGGTGGGGTGCTGCTCCGCTTCCCGCTCCTGCCCGCCCCAGCGCCGCTGCTCCCTTCCCGCTGGGCCTGAGGTCCGGGGCTGCCTCTGTGTCTCCCAGGGAAAGCGGACAGGCCGGAGCCCATGCAGCCGGGCGGTCCAGACTAGGAACCTCACCAGCCTGGCCACCAACCCTGCGGTATTCAATATTTAAGGCTCATTACAAATAAAGATTAAAATTTTCTGATTTTTAATTTTTAATCCTTCTTAATAATTTAATACCTGGAATGTGTTTTAATTTTTAAAGGACAAGGAATTAAATTCCCTCGGCTCCCCCCGACCCCTGCCCTGGAGCCTGGGGGCCTGGATCTAATGCAGCGGCGGGATCCACCTGCTGCGCTTATCCAGGGGGCCAGGCTGGCAGGTGTGTAATTCTGCTCCCATGGAGACGAGACCGTCCTATGAGCCACGCTCCCGCCGCTCCTGCTGTGGAGACTATTCCTATCGCCCCTCCAGTGTGGTGCTGTGGTCGCCTCTGGGTGGCCCCCAGGAACCCACTGGGGGTGCAGGAGGCAGCAGCAGCACCCGGGGCAGCTCGGGGCAACTTCCCCTGCTGGCCTCTCTCCCCACTCCCAGCTTCTGGGAGGCGCTGGCTCAGCTCCGCATCTCACTTCAGTTCTGCCCCGGAATCCAGAGATGTCTTTAGGATAAAATCTTCAATTCTGCGCCAATTGGTATCAATTTAGTCAAAAGGAGAGTGTTAATGGTTACTGACGTCATTTTAAATGTAACGTAGAGAGAACTGCCAAGTGCCTACAGCTGCTAAATTCATTCCCTCTTCCTCTGTTTTGAGGCACCCAGGGTCGGGAATGGGGCCCCCAGAGCTCCTGGCGACTCTGGGCAGCAGTATTTTTAACTCAAGTTTAGCGCTTTTGTGGAAAGTCAGCACTTGGCAGCCGTGAGCTCAGCTGTCAGATGGAGGGAGCGGGCTGAGGTCAGCACCCCGGGGTCACGGTGTCCTGTTTCACACCTGCCAGGTGGCAGGACACCCTCCTTCCTCTCAGCCAGAGGGTGGTGCCGGGCGGGGCGGGGGGTGGACGGCTGTCTGGGGCAGCTGTGGCGCTTGGGCTGGGACATGCACCTGCCAGAGACTAGGGCAGCTGCTGGGACACTGAGAGGCCGGCGCTCTGGGAGGCAGCGGGAGCTGGGCAAGGTGCAGTAAAGGGTGTTCAGTGCTGTGGCTCCCGAAAGTAACGCGGAGCCTGTGGCCAACTGGAGGGGATGGAGGGGGAGGTGACATCTAAGTCAGAGGGCGTGATGGCCTCGAGAGCCAGCACTTCCTTGCTCCCCAGGCTGCCCCCAGAGTCTGCCTCTGATCACCTGGCTCCTGGCCAAGGTTTGCTCACTCATCAACCAGAACAGAGTAAGGGAGACCAGGTACCTATCAATGCGGGGGCCAGGACACGCCGGCACACAGCGTGTGAGTCGTGCCACATACACCGGCAAGGGGGGCACGGAGGAGCAGGCCCTGAGTGAGGCCCCTGCGCAGGCCTGGGTCTGCACACCAACCACCTACCCTATCCCAGCACGCCTAGGGCCCCGAGGGAATGTCTCTGCATGTGTGCGCACATGGGGTGCACCTTGCTGATGGGAGATGGGGGCCCTCCCCAGCCCACGTCACTCTGAAACAGATGAAACTCACTCCAAGGTAGAGTCAGGTCAGGACTCACCTCATTAGCGAATCAGCTGCTTCGCCACTTGATTAAAGGGTGAGAGAAAGGGTAAGGGGAGAGCCAGGTGGAGACACACAGAGACACAGGCCGAGCTCTGGGAGGCCCTGCGCACAAGACCCGTCCCTTGGAGTTGGGGCGCGTCACCTTCCTGGTGTGGATGGGCCCCCCCATGGAAGCCCTCCCAACCCCCTGCCTTGGGGTGTCATGGATGTTTCCTCCTGTAGACGTGACCCACTAATAACTCCACGGCCAGCTCCTCTCCCCTCTCTGGAGGCTGCGGGGAGATCCAAGCTTCTGGTCCTGTTTGGACTTTGGGGGACCAGCCCCCCCCAGCAGCCAGAACAGAGGGTGCACCTGGTTCTCTTATCACTCGGGAAATCACAGGGGTTTCCTGAGCCCTGTGCCAGGAACCCAGAGCAGAAATCAATAGATGCTTTCAGTGACAGGGCCCAGGGGGCAAGTGTGATGACACCGTCCCTGGCTGCAGGGACCTCCAGGAAGGGACATCGAGGCCTGCAGCTGGGCCTGAAGACATGCTGGACGGTGGCCCCCAGCCTCCCTCTCCCCTGCCAGGCCCGCCTCTGTCCCCACAGCCGGCACACGGTCTGCTCTATATTCTTTCCATATTTCCCTGCCCTAGAGAGCATGTTGGTGGCCGGGACTGAGTCTTCCTTGCCTTTGTTTTTCGGGTCCCCAGCACAGGCTTTGGGTGCAGGGGCGGTGGGGACAAGGCTGCCCTGTTACGTCCAGTAGCATTTCTACTGGAGGAGGCGCTGGTGTGGGCGGAGGGGCTTGTCCCGCAAGGCCCCGGGTTCCAGCAGGTCATGGGGCGAAATCCAGGCCTCCAGGCCGGGACACTGGTTCTGTCCTGAGTCCTGTCCCCGCGGGGGCCCCAGCCCCCCCAGTCCACAATTACGATCTGTGTAGAGAATGATGCCAACATTTAATAGTTATTAAAATAAGGCAGTAGGCCTTATACGTATTTTCCAGACATTTGATTTGATTTATATATCTCAAATACTAATTTATATTCATATAATACTTTCATTATAAAATATGCAGTGCTATAGAGATTTGTATGTATATGAGAATTTTTTTTTTTAATTTGGGTTTATAAATGGTTTGGAACGGGTTGCAGAAATACCGTCTGTTGCTCTTTTTAATATATCTTGAGCATGCTATGACATGTCCTGAAATAATTTGCTTTGGAAAAAAGCACTGCTCTCCCGCGCTCTTTTTGCCAATGTAACCGTAAATATTACTTTGATGTATGTAATTGCTTTAGCCATCTCCATTTGAAGGAAAGCTTCTAACCCTTCCATCTCCCATCTCCTGCTTTGTCAGGAAATAAGAAAATCTGACTTAAAATGCATTATTCAAATGTATTTAATGTAAACATTAAAGAAGTCTGGGAATAGCCACACATTGCGCTTGGCCGAATCTGCTCTTGAAAATATTTCGCGTATTTTCTTTTCGGACGCTTGGCCACTCTGTTCAGGGAAAAGATTTCCTTGCGCCCATGCGAGGAGCTTGAGAAGCTTCCAGGGCCTGGCGCGGTGGGTCGGGTCCATGCAAGTGTTGGATGGTGACTCGGGGAGCCACGCTGGGGCCCGAGGACTAGAGGACGCGTGGACATCCTCGCATCAGAGGTGGCCCCGGCAGGGCTCAGTGGGGGTATTCTGAGGAGGCTGCAGAGGACCCTCTGCCGTGGGCACCAGTGTCGCTGCAGAGCTGGGCTTTGGGGCCCCCTGTAGGTTATTTCGCCACATCTGTCCATCCCTTTAGGAGCTTTAAGCCTCAGCCGTGACCCCGGACCATGTGTTTTATCTGCTGGTCAGCAGCCCGTATGTGCCCCGACGCATAATTGCTCAGTAAATTTTTTTGCTCAATTGAAGGACAAATTAAAGAAATGACAGGCTGCTATGGTCTCCCCGCTTGAGAGGCCTGCACCGGACTTGGGAGCTGATCCAGCTTTAGATGGGTCATTGGCCGAGGCGGCGTCCCAGGCCCGCTTCCTGGGCTGTCCAGAGCCCTGCCTGGGAGGCCGAGGGCCCTTCAGTCTCTACCTGCATCCTGCACACAGCAGGCCCAGACCCCTCGTCCCTCCTCCTTCTGGACTTCAGGCTCCGTGAGCCCTGAGATCACAACCAGCAACAATTCTAGTCCCTCACATCAACATTGTGTGTGTGCACATGTGTGTGTGTGTGTGTGAGTGAGAGAGAGAGAGAGAGAGAGAGAGAGAGAGAGAGAGAGAGAGAGAGAGGGCGGGTAGGGGGAGAGAGAGAGAGGGGTCAGCTTATTTGCTGCAGAACCAAAGTTTTCACTCCTCGATTAATAAACAAATAAATATTCTGACCTATTTTTCTGCAGACTGAAGTTCTGGAATTTCAAATCACTGGATCCTTCTTTTGTTGTCCTTCGATTGCCCCTGGGATGAAAGAAAATAGATTGTAGTCAGGAAATAGCAAGAAGCGAGGGGAAAAAAATTAATTAAGTGCATTCATTCATAGAAACAACCACTCAGTCAGATTTAAGTAATTAACGTCTCACACATAATTCCAAATCTCTTTTTGTATTTCCATTGGGTTTTAAAAAAATGTGGGTTTAAAGTAATTCAATTCGTTTAAAATATATTTTTTTAATGCAAGACCTGGATTTGACAAGGACAGCAGCCTGGGGGTGGAGGTAACATCCCATCAAGACAGATGGGGTGCGCCCCCATCTTGCCAGGCTGGCTGGGCGCTACCCCTCAGCTCTGTGGGTGTCTGGGCCACCATACTGTCACCATACTGTCATCACACAATGGGGGTCTGTCAAACAAGGACAGTGACCTTGAGCCAAGGAAGGTTCTAGCTGCTCCCCGTGTCAGCTGAATTTGACCCCAAAGTAGCAGATGCCATCCAATGCAAGAATGCCGGTTATTTAGCAATAGCAACTGGGATTCAAATAATATTTATTGAATGCTCTATAATTTCAGCACTTGGCTGTGGCATTTTCTATGAAGAGATTCAATTATTTTAAATTGAGTCAATTTGTTCAAATGCGGCAAGGCATTCGCCATCATAAACCATCACTATCGTGCACCCTTGTTCATTTAATTAAGCAAGTTTAATACACTTTCTTTCCCTTTCCAGGCGCTCGGTACACTTCATCAGACATCCCGCCAGGACCAGCTCCCTCAGCGGCCTCCGAGCCTCCTGACCTCAGGCCTCCTGCTCTCTGCTGGGGTCTCCCTGGCTTCTGCTCCTTGGACTTCCTCTCCACCCTCAGATCTTCTGGGGCTGAATGTGGCCCTGAAGCTATTTCACGTGACAGCTGTTCCTTCACTGCTTAGGGGAACTATTTCCTCAAGCAAATCTGAGCAGCAGAGCTGCATCTAGGGCCTGGCGCACAGTGGAACAGACCAGGATGCTTCCAGGCCCTGCTTCTGCTCCTCCTCCTCGTTAGTTCCAGCTCCGGCGTCTGAGCTCAGCTCAACCATCCTCAAATCCTCGGGGACCTTGCCGACCTGTGGCCTGGCTCCCGCACGGAGCCAGGAGCCCACCGAGTGGCCGTCTTCCTCTGGGTGTCACCTGAAACCTGCGCCACCAGCCACACTCTGTGGGGTGGAGATCGGCAGGCTCCCCCTCCAGGGCCTGGGCAGTGCCGGCCCTCAGTGGATACGCCTGGCGGTCGCACGGTCAAGACTCCTGAGAAGCCTGCGATGCTTCTCTCTACCCAGGCTGTGGCCTGATGGGTGGAACACCTGGTGGGATCCCTGCCTCCTCTGTGCGACCCTCTGGGAAGACTGCGCTATTGCGTGGCTTTTTACTTATCTTTTGGTTATGTCATGATTTGAGAATTGTTTGGTTGCTGTGGTATTCCATGACTTCATCCTTCTTTTTCCATCTGGGTAAAGCTGGAGTCATAAATCTGTCCTCTCGCTTCTAAGTTCTAGACACAAACATTGGACTATTTTCTGGGCCTTTCTAATTGGCCCTGAGCATCTGTTGTGGTTCCCTGGTGGCGCTCCAGCAGGCCGGGCCTTTGGCTGGTGAGGGCGCCCTGCTGGCTGTTTCCACCTGCAGCCTGGGGTCCTCTGCTCCTCCCGCCTCCCTCATGGCCATCTCCCCAACCCCAAGCGGCTCTTGGAGCCTCCTCTGTGCTTCCAGGAGTGACCCTCTGTCTTGCTTTTGGTCTTGCCCTCCACCCCGGCCTCTAGCTTCGGCCCCCTGCCCCGAGGTCCATCCTGCAGGACCAGGCCCAAACCCTTCCCATGGTCACCAAGATGCTGGTCCGAGGCCCAAGCAGTCTCCTGTGGCGCTTGGCCTGTGTCCTGCCACCCCTCCCGCGGCCAGGCCCACTCTGCCCGCTGTCTGGACCAGCTTCTCCACATGAGCCCAGGCCCAGACTTGTGCTGGCAAAAACTTAGGTCCAGTTCAAATGCCTCTCCCTGGGCTCTGCGCCTCGAGGCCCGCCAGCGGGCCTGTGAAATCCCTTTGCTAGTTCACTGATGCAGCAAGGCTGGCGGGGCCAGAGCATGGACAAGCGGACACGCAGCCCCAGCCCCAGCCCCCGCGTGTGCCTGCCCTTGTCCTCCTGAGGGGGGACTTGCTGGCCTGCGCGCTGCCCGGCGTCCTTGCATCCCCTCCCGCCCTGGCTGTGGAGCCTCGGGGTGTCTGCACTCTGTGAATTGACACCTTTACAGTGGCCAGCCACGCGACCTGCCCACCCCAACGACACAGCCGCGAACTCAGTGAGCCTGCGGGGCCCGCAGTCACACATGTGGCTCTTGAGTCATAATTCTCTTTGGAGAACTTGGGGGCTGAATTGCGGAGGCCAAGGTCATGAAGGACAAGAATTGTTATGATAATAACATTTGAAAACTTGCCAATGATTCCCAACCACAGGCTGCTGTCCAACGAATCCATCCAGTCCTCAGGACAACCCTCTGAGACCCGCCCTAGTGCATCCCCAGCCCTGCTGCAAAGTTCACCCTGCTCGCCTCCCGCCATCCCTCTGGACCTGAGGCAGATTCCAGGGTGGAGGCACAGGGAGGGCTTTAGGGGACTTCCCGGGAACCCTGCTGTGCTGGGGAGAGAGGGAGCTGAGCTCCAGGCCGTGAACGCCCCGGCCAGCTGTTATTCTGACCTTCTATCAGCCCCACCAGGACTTTTATTTGGGCCGCTGTAAAATTTCCTTCTCTGCACAACCCTTGAGATGTTTTTCTCCCTTATACTGTTCATGGGATTTTTTTCCTTACAAATATTCAAGATTTTTTTTCCCTTATATGATGGACCAAATTCCTTTATGATGTTCCACTCCGTTCCCTCGGCTTCTGCTATCTGTCCACAGAACAAGAACACGCCACTATTTCAGCATCTTTAGAGAAGTCACGTTGCCTTTTGTTTCCTTCTTAAAAATGGTGCCACTGTCATAGTTGTCTCCTGCTGTGTGGTGATATTAGCCCAGATTCAGCAGCTTAAATAACTCACGTTTATAATCTAACGGTTTATATGGGTCAGGGATCTGGGTGTAGCTTCAAGGGCCTGCTGTGTTAGGGTCTCCTATGAGGAGACCAATTAAGGTGTCAGTAGGGATGGGGTTTCATCTGAAAGCTCAGCTGGGAAAGGCCCTGGTGTCAGTCTGTTGGCCTGTTGGACTAAGAACCTCAGTTCCCTGGAGTCTGCTGCGTAGAGGCTCCCCTTGGTGCCGTGCCCCTTGGGGTTCCTGACGGGGCTCCTCCCTTCATCAAGTCATAGGAGCATGGAAGACAAGAGGAAAGTTTCAATCTTCTATCACACCGGAAATGTCAAGTTTGCCATTCCCTATTATTTAGAAGTGGTCGAGGCCTCACTCACACCTAGGGGAGAGGCATCCCCGGGGAGGGCCGTGGGTGCCAGAGGTGGGAAGCTGGAGGGTTATGTGACTGTCTTCACACATCCTGCGTATTTCATGTGGGAGTGTGAGTAGAGAGGACACTTAAGTAACATCGAGAAGGATTTTTTTTTTTTGCAAACCTATAAATCAAATTAGCTGAAATCTTCCTGCAGCTTATTTTATAAACTTTCCTGACCCCTGAAAATGTCAGGACAATTTTCAAAAGCTTTTCAGCTAATTTTAGAAGGCTCTAGCAAATACCAGAATAAACTGGTCTTCTGACTCTTTGCCCTTGCATTCGAGAGGCCATTTTAATAATTTTTGCCTCTGGGTATTTTAATTCTAATGCCTTTAGAATAGTCACCACATCAGTTGTCACAAAACACTCATCTTGGTGAGGGGGACCCATAGCAGTGATTTCCTTTGGTTGCTCAGCCATATGGGGGCAAGTGCAAGCTTATCTCAATGGGGCATTCCTGTCAACAGCTTCTTCTGGACCAGGGAATACTTAGCGCTTGCCCAGAGCAAAGCCCAGGTTCTGGGGGTTTGATGCGCCGCAGTCTGCCTGCTGGACACTGTCCATGTGCCGGCACTGAACCCAGAGAAACAGAAGCAGCTGCACGGTACGCGACCTTCCTGCCACCCAGTTTTTGGGTTTGAAATTGAATCTATCTGCAGAGGGCCTCGTCCTTCAGCTGACAAAGCCCAGCCACTCGGATCCCACTTAACCTTGCACTTTTATATTAAAAATGTAGCATGTTCTAACCGGTCCCTGGAGATATGAACTGGCGACCCTTCCTAGAGGAACTTGAGCGGGAAGTCGCTCAATCATAAATTGACCCCAGGGAGATGCTTCAGTTGCTCTTCCTTACCAGTTCACCTCTCCCCAGTTCCATATTCTGATGGTTAATTTTGGCCCAACTTTGCTAGGTGATGGTACCCAGCTGTTTGTTCAAACATTGTCTGGGAACTGTTGAGGCATTTCTTAGATGTGATTAACTCAGAGTAGACACTGAGTAAAGCAGATGACCCTCCTGATATGGGCGGGCCTCATCTAAGCAGTTGAAGGCTTTGGAGCAAAGACTGCGGTTTTCAGAAGAAGAAATTCCACTTGAAGACAGAAACACAGGAGCCCTGCCTGGGTTTCCAACCTGCTGGCCATTGTTATCGGCGTCTCCAGTCTGCTGGTCTGCATATATATGGACACATGTGCACACGCATTTATATATCTATATCTATAGACGATACATATATAAATATATTTATATATAAATTATGGAAATATATTTATGAGTAAATACATTTATATAAGTAAATACATAAGTATGTATTTTTATATATAACATAAATATAAGTATAAAATACATATTTATAATTCTCTTGGTTCTATTTCTCTGGAGCTCCCTGACTAATATATTTCTTCAATATTTAGTCGTTGGGCAGCAGCTCCCAACAGAGAAGGAAGGAAAGGTCATTTACAGGTGGTGAGTGCCTCCTGGTTCCAAATGTGGCCCCAGGTGATTTAATATAATCCTCAGAGCAGCCCCTCACCTTCTACCTCATGGTCTC